TCCCCAGCCAGTTCTGAGGCTGCTGCTGCTCAGGTGTTTGTGCTATTAGCCTGTAGCTTCCAGGGCCTGTGCTGTGCACACGGAGGGGATGGGGAACTTGACCTCCATGGCAATCTGCTGCACATGGGTGGCCATTCCTCAAGTCCCAAAGCAGTCAAGGGCAGAGAGAGAGAGAGAGAGCCTCTCAGTTGGGTGAGTTACCCAAGGCTCTCCCTGCCACGCTCACCCCTGAAGATCTGGGGGCTCCCCCCTCTCTCTGCCCACTCACACTGGCATCTGGCCCAGAGGGTTATTTATTAGGTGGCTGGGTGAGGAGGCCCCCATCAGACACCTGTTACTGGAGCCTGGACTTCCCCCTCAGTCCCAGCATCCCAGCGGCCTGTAAATCATTGATCCCGGGCCCTCTCCCCACCCCGCCACTCTCACGCACCTCCCTGCTCCCTCCCTCCTGGGCTTCAGGGTGGCACAGGTGCGCATAGGAGGGGGGAGGGAGGGTAGCTTCAAGCATCCAGGAGTTCTGGCCCAGAGCTGTATGACTGGAGCCCAGGGATCCTGTCATTAAAAACACAAGTGCACATCTGCACGTGGTAAAAATGTAAGCACCCCTAAAGCTCCCTCCCACCTGGGGCTCCCCAGTTCTCCCTCCAGAGGCAGCTCCTGCTCGTGGCTTTTTGTCTCTTCTTTCAGAAAGAACCCTATGGGTGCACAAACGTGTGATGGGGTGCCTGTGTGTGTGTATCCCCATTTTTATACAAAACCAGTAACATTCAATATCTTGATTTTATTTTTACTCAACAAGATATCTCAGGCGTTGCTCCAGATTGGTACAGATGGAGCTTTACCGTCTCTCTCGAATGATTGCATAAAGCTCGTCTCCATGGATGTGCCATCTTTTATTTAACATGTTCCCTACTTGTAGCACGTGCAGTGATTTTAGTCTTGTGTCACTTCAAACAGCTGCAGCTTTGGACATTTCTCTGTGGGATCAGCTCCTGGAGGCGGGATGATTGGGTGAGGGATATGCGATGCTCAATGGGGCTACACATCGCCGAGCTGGGCTCCTGTGAGATTCCCCGGCTCCCGGACCACACGGTGTGACAGCAAACATTTTGTTCTTTAGCAGAGCCATTTTCTTTTTCTTTCTTTCTTTCTTTTCCTTTTCTTTCTTTCTTTTTTTTTTTTTTTTTAATAATAGCATAATTTATTTTACCAAACACCCCAAGACACACAAACTAGAAAGGAGCAGGACTTAAAGCCAGAGTTAAAGGAATAGGAACACTTAATCCCATGCAGTCCCCTTGTTACTGTGATCGGCTGGCTGGGCGGGAGGCGTTCTTCTTGGAGTTCTGGGGCCAGTGCCTCCCGCTGTGGGCAACTCTGAACATTCATGCACCCAGACCACAGCCCCGGACCGTGCCCTCTGTGCGCCAGCACCCACTCTCAGCCTGTTCCCTGGGCTCTCACTGTTCTGTGCACAGCACAGAGCCCTCGCCGTCTCTAAGAGGAGATGGTGGCAGCAGAAGAGGACAGCAGCCTGCGGACTCCTCTCTGACGCCGGGAGCCAGGGACAGGCAGACTCCATCAGACAGGGATGTGGGGCCGGAAGTGGAAGGAGCTGTCAGGGTCCGTATAATGGCCAGGGGTGGAGGAGAAGCAGCCTTTGGTGCTGGGCAGGCAGGGCCAGGGGACAAGAGCAAGGAAGAAGGGAGCTTGGCTGGCTCAGAAGAAGGAGGGGTAGGAAGGCTGCTGGTGTAGAAAAATGCTGCCCTCCCCATAGTGAGGAGGATGAGGAGGAAGAGAAAGAGGAGGAGGAAGAGGGGGAGGAGGAGAAGGAGGAAAAGGAGAAGGGGAGGAGGAGAAGGAGGAAAAGGAGAAGGGGAGGCAGAGGAGAAAGAGAAGAAGGAGGAAAAGGAGGGGGGAGGGAGAGGAAAATGATGAGGGAGAGAAAGAGGAGAAAGAAAAGCAGAGACATTTTCTTAGCAATGAAACTCTGTGCTTTGAGCAGCTCTATCAATAGAAGTTGGTCAGTAGGTTCTTGAGCCCACCAGCCCCTCTCCCGGGCCCAGAGGGGGAAGGGGGACGGGGAAGACCAGGTCTATGGGCTCCGTTGTACTAGAACAGAGAGGACTAATTATGCAGATAGGGTCCTACCTCCCCACTAGTCCACCCCCTTCCCCCAGCCTGCACTCTGGGAAGAGCTGGGCTAGAGGTTGGGGCACCTGAGCCCGGGTTCATACCACCCCCAGGCAGAATAGCCCTGAGCAAGGGCCCCTTCTGAAGCCTCGTTTCCCCATCTATGAAATGGGTGTGAGGGATCCCTGCTTGCTCACGAGAAAGGCTGGGAGCGAGAGCTGGGTGTCTCGGGGGACAGATAACGGCATAACCACTGCTCGGAACCTCAGGCTGAGGCTTGGGTGGGCAGGGAGCCTCGTTCCCCACCTCAGGCTGTGGGTCTTCTTGGCATTTCCAAGGCCCCCAGCTTTTGGGCCCTCTGGCTGCAGCCCAGGGCTCCCGGGGCTCTGCCTTCATTGTGGACTGGCCCCTGCCTTCCCAGAAGTACAAATAAATAGGTGCTCTGCTGTTGGAGCTTCTGCTGCCAACGCTTAGGTGGGCTCCGTGGCGAGTTCTGCAGCCCCTACATGTGGTGGGTGGGGAGTCGTGGATGAGAATGGAGAGCAAGCGCTCTAGGCCACAGGATGTGGTCTTGGGCGAGTTTGAATGCCAGGGCCTTCAGTGACCCTGACTGCACAAGGAGGCCGGGCTGGAAGGCCCCACAGGCCTCTCTTATTTGGATCCCTGGCAGCCGTATAACCACCCTGAACCGAGGTCTCCTCGTTTACACAAGGGAAGGAGCCCTCTGGGTTTAGCCCGGCGAGCGCAGTGGGCTGTGGAGGCAGAGCTCTGGGCTCTGGTGGTGGTGGCGGCATTAGGCAGAAGTGATTTTGAGCTGGCGTTGTATTTTCTAGCCAAGGAGGGGCTCCATCTGGACCCATGCCTTAGCAGCCACTCCCTTGTCCCTTTCCTGGGCCAGGCCTGGCGGCCAGCCGAGGCTGTCCCGTGCTGCGTCCGGCAGGGAGCTGAGGGCCGTGCATGTGGGAGAGTCCGGCGCGGTTCCGCTGCTCTGGCAGGAAACCAGGGAAAAGAGCCCAGTAATATCTGTTGTCTCCCATTCTCCACAAAACCATTTGGCTCTGGAGGAGCCCAGTGCTGCCCTGCCAAGTTGTGTGGGCTTGGTGGAGGGGGGTAGGGTTTGGATCGGGGTACGGGGTAGTTAGGACAGGGGTGCTGTGACCCAGACAGAGGTAAAAGCTAGGGTGTCGTGGGGGCACTTGTGGGTGAGGCAGGAGGGGATTGACGGGGATTCAGAGACCCACCCATCCCCTGGTGGGACGCATGTGTCGGTCTGAAAGTGCTTGCATGTGCCTCCTATTTATAGCCATGTGCTCAGCTTTTTACAAAGAAAACTCGTGTTTAGTCAGGCCTGCACACCAGCCAGGCCTAGCATGACTCTTAATATTCTCTCCAGACAGACCTCTGATCCCAGCCCCAAAATAAGCCCTGACATTAACCCCAGTCAGTCCTCCCATCCAGTTCCTGGCCCCAGGCTGAGCCCCATGTAGAAACCAAGCCACCACCTTCTGTCTCCTGGGTTATTGCAGGTCTCTCTGTGCTTCCTGGTTCTTCTTGCCAGTCTGTTCTCCATGCAGCAGCTACTGAAACGTACTTCAGTCTCCTCTACGCAGGACCCTGCAATGGTTCCCATCCCAGACAGAGGAAAAGCCAAAGTCCTTTCAATGGCCTGTAAGGCTCTGGGCAGCCACCACCCCACACCCCCTTCCTCAGTGCATTCCAGCCACGCCTCACTGCTTCTCACACACGTCAGACGTCAGGCATGTTTCTGCCTCAGGGCCTTTGCACGTGCTGTTCATGCCGCCTGAATCTTTCCGTTTTGCTTTTACGGATGCACCCCAGTGCCTGGCTCACAGCAGGGGCTCAGTCAGTATTTGTGAGCTGAGCAGTCATTCCCGCTCTGTGCCCAGGCACAGGCAGAAGGCTGGATGGCTTCAGGAACACCAGCCCCTACCCACCCCTAGCTCAGGGCTTGGTGTTCTTCTTAAGGTAACGTCTAGGTCCTCAAGGTTACCAGCAGCCACACTCAGCAGGAATTAAGGTGCCATACACCCCAGAACAGTCCGGCAAGCACCTGCCCTGCCTACAGTGGCACAGGAGAAAGGAACAGCCACCATCCTTAGTCTCCACCTGCCAGCTGTCCCTCCATCTCACTGGTGTTCCCCTGGAATGGAACCACCTGGGGAACATATTAAAAATGCAGATTGTATTAATATGCCGAAACTGGTTTGGCTCAGTGGATAGAGCGTCAGCCTGTGGACTGAAAGGTCCCAGGTTCGATTCCGGTCAAGGGCATATACCGTGGTTGCTGGCACATCCCCAGTAGCGGGTGTGCAAGAGGCAGCTAATCGGTGATTCTCTCTCATCCATGTTTCTAACTCTCTATCCTTCTCTCTTCCTCTCTGTAAAACATCAATAAAAAATATATTTTTTTTTTAAATGCAGATTGTCCGCCCAGGCTTTCTGACTCACATGGCTGGGGACGCCCTGGTAGCTGCTTTCCACAGGCTCCCGGACTTTCTGTCACGCGGCCACGGCCACAAGTGGCTGGGTTAAAGCTGGAGGAGCTGGTGATCAGAGTAGGGCCCTGGGTCAGGAGACCAGGATTGAAACCCAACCCCACCAGCAGCTTGCTGTGTAACCCCGAGAAAGTTGTGTTCCCTCTCTGTGCCTCGGCACCTCCTGGAAGTGCTAGCCTCTCAGGAAGTCTCTAAACCTGAGCCTGGGGGGGGCATGATTGTCACATCCAGGATTGGGGTGCACCTCCCTCCCCACTTCAGGGCCCTTCTTCTAAGGGCCGGGGGCCCTGCCTGTGCCTTTAAGACTGCCCCTCCGCACTCACCTCTCCTCCTGGGCCCTCTGCTTCTCAGGGAAGACCCGGACCAAGGACAAGTACCGCGTGGTCTACACCGACCACCAGCGCCTGGAGCTGGAAAAGGAGTTCCACTACAGCCGCTACATCACCATCCGGCGGAAGTCGGAGCTGGCTGCCAACCTGGGCCTAACCGAGCGGCAGGTGTGTGGGACCCCCGCCTCAGCCACAGGAGCAGCATGGGGGGGGGGTCTGGCTCCAGGCTGTCAGGCAGATTACGGAGCTCGGTCAAAGGGGGAGAACAGAGAGGTTGAGCCTCCTGGCCATGGTCACACAGCACAGCAAAAACTTTGAGCTGCTGCCAAATCCTCTCCTGCCTCAACAAAACCCCATGTCCCTAACTCCCAGGAGGGAAATAGGGGGTCTGAGTAGCTATGATCAGTGCTGTTTAAATCCAGACAAGGGAGTAGTTACAGGCAGATCAAGGAGGGCTTCCTGGAGGAGGGGTGTCAGAGTGTAGCCTTGGGAGATGGGGAAGACGAAGGCTGCAGGAGAGCTCATGATTAGAGTTGGGGAGCCTGTTTTAGGAAGGAGAGTGTGTTCAGGATCCACGAATGGTCTGGGTGGCGGGAGCAGGAGCGAGGCCACAAACGCCACATCCAGAAGTGAGAGCTCAGCTGTCCTCCCTCTCTCCCTCTCCCTGTCCCTGGGTCTCCGCACCACCCACCGCTGTTCTCCAACCGCAGGTGAAGATCTGGTTCCAAAACCGGCGGGCCAAGGAGCGCAAAGTGAACAAGAAGAAACAGCAGCAGCAGCAGCAGCAGCAGCAGCCCCCGCAGCCACCACTGCCAGCCCATGAAGTCACCCCCCCTGCCGCTGGGCCGCCCCTGGGGGGCCTGTGCCCCAGCTCCGCTGGCCTCCTGGGGGCCTCCTCCCCAATGCCAGTCAAGGAGGAGTATCTGCCTTAGCCCCCTGCCAAGCCTTGTGGGCTGGGGGTCTGGGGACTCCGATGCTGGGAATATGGCTCCCGTCGGGGCGCAGGAGGCCCTGTCTGAGTCCCAGCCCTGTCCCTGACCTTCTGAGTCACCTTGGACGAGTCACCTGCCCAGCCTGTGTGTGCCCTTGGCCGATTTGTGCAGGGAGCTCTTTGGAGAAGGACGTTTTCCTTTTCCAGGCCTCAGGGGGAGTAAAGGAACCCAGGGTGGGAGGTCTCCATCCCTAGAGGGCTGGGTGAGGGAGTCAAGATAAGTCCCCATCCCTATCTCCTTCTCCGTAGGTTCAAGGGCAGAAGGCTGCTCTAGGGACTAGCCTGACCCTGGAGAAAGGAGATGGAGCTGAGGGAAGATGGAATGTTGACCTGTGGGGAGGAATGTGATCAGCTCCTACCTGCCTGGTCCTGCAGCCTCGCCTCTACCTGCCCCCCTCCTAACACACCCCGAACCTCTCCAGGCTGACGCAGAGCAAAAGCCCACAGGAATGGGCCCGGGAGGCTCTGACGAGTGTCCCCTCTGGGCTGCAGAGCCATATCCCCTCACTAGTGTTCTCCATGGGGCTCCAGGGTGGGGGCGGCCCTTGGAAGGGTCAGAGGTCAGAGCCTGCCCTGCCAAGTCCCACCTCGCCAGGCTGTCCCTCGGGGCCCAGGCCGCGGCGGGCCCTCGGAGGACTTTCTCTGGACCAAGCAGAGCTCACGGCTGGGCAAGTGTTGTACATAGAGTGGAATCTCTTGGGTACAGCTTCAAGAATAAACGTTTTTCCCTCTTTTTAAAGATGCATCAAAATCATTTTGCGTAGCGTTAAAGGGAATGTTAAGTATAAGTCACCCTCGCCCTTTCCTGACACTTGCATAAGCCCTTTCCGTCTCCGTCGGCCTACACCAAGGTCACCTTTAAAATGCATTTGAACGATGAAACCATGGCATCGTTAGAGTAAGTCTAAGAGACCAGGTGAAGTTTTAAGTCTGTTTTGTCAGCAGAATCATCACACTCGATATAGCAGTCTTCTGAATTTTTTCAAACATTTTTAGGTCAGGATTTTACAATATTCATTGGGCACCCACACGTGCCAGGCATGGCTGTGCCCCCAGAAGTGCCCACTCCGAGTTCTGCTCTAGGCCTCAGCGAGCAGAGCATGATTCGGGGACTGAGCTTCTCCTGGAGGGTCCGGAGGGCTTCCTGGAGGAGGTGAGGTCTGAGCAGGCGCCTAAAGGACCAGTGGGTGCCATTAGGCCAAGCAGGGAGGAATGGTCATAAAGAGTCTGAGCTGTGTGAACTTAACGTATAATTTTTTAACCCCCTGAGGAAAGCTGCCATTCTCAGCTCCCTTCAGAGGTGGCCAGGAGCCTGCTACCCGGAGGGCTCCCGTGCCAGCTGCCTGCCCCTCTGTTTACTGTTCTGGGAGGTGGCCCGGCCATAAAAGGTGTGCACAGCCTGCCCTTTGCTCCGGGCACATGACAACAAGGCACGAGGTGGATCTCTCCCACACACAAGCCCTGCAAAGCGGCAGGCTCTCCTCCCTCCTCCTGGTGGTGGCCTGAGAGAGGTGGCCCCACTGAAGGTGCTGGGGGTACCTGGAGCAGGGGAACCAGGTGTGCCAGGGGAAGGGCCAGGGTCCCAGGAGCAGAAGAGGGTTGGCGGGAGGGGGGCTGGCAGTGACTGTGGTTTTCTGGTCATCAGAAACATTTCCTGTGTGACCTGAGGTGAACACTTCCCTTCTCTGGGCCTCGTGCCCATCTAGAACCGGGGAGCTGGTTTGCCAAAAGTAAGTGTTTCTGGTCCAATACGTTTGGGAAGTCCTACAGACTCGACCCTTCTGGGTCCAGCGTTCCCCAGGCTTCACCACCCAGGAGCCCCCCTATGAGCGCCTGCCAGCGCCCACGGGACACCCTACGCTCTGTAGGGTGGGGTTCCGTGGGCTGGAGGGCCACACTTGCGCTGTGGCTCAGTGTTCAGGAGCGGGCTTTGTCAGGTGGCCTGGCTCCAGCCTCACAACTTCCAAGTGGTGAGTTCAGGCACGTTCCTTAGCTTCTCTGAGCCACAGCCTCCTTCCTCATTTGTCAAATGGAGGGGGAGGGGAAAAAACCCTCTAACCTGCCTCAGAACAGGGCCTCACACGCAGTGAGTTCTGGGTTTCTGCCACCTGCTCACAGAGCTGTTGCATACTCGTGGGACAGGCTGCCAGGCCTGACTGATGCTTTGACTACCCCACCCCCAATGCTGAGGACAGATGGTGGCTGGGGAGATCCGAGGCGGGGCCAGCCTGTCCCCAGCCTCCGGGAGACCTTCCTGGCAGGAGGTCAGTGGCCAGGCCTGCCAGGCTGGGTGAGTTGCAGCTGCTACCTACACGGGAGACCAGGGGTTGGGTGGGGCTCACAGGCTGGGTTGGCGATCACCTGCCAGATAGTGTGAATGCTGTGAAAAAGGAAACTTCCCTAAAACAACCTGCCTCTAAGCAACGCCACGGGCTGGCTTGTGAGGTAGAGTTCCCCATCACCGGGAGAGTCCCACCAGGTGTAAGACTCAGGAAAGGGACCTCTCATGTCCTCATAGACCCCCGTGCGAAGGGAGGTTCCAGCTGGTTGGCAGGCTCTGCGTTGATACGGAGTCCAGACAAAAGTCAGTTCTGGCCTAGCCTGGCCCCTGAAGATTCTGGGCCTGATCACGGCTTCTACCGAACCAGAAACATGCCTGTCAGCACCATGATTTCCCTTTTCGACCCTTCATGCCATGCTGAAAACATCAGTCTGCTGGAGGCCATCACTGATTGCCAGAGACCGGTGTGGGCTGAGCAGAGAGGGTCACAGCCCAGCTCTCAGAAGGACCCAGCTCAGGGCTGGGGGTGGCGTGTTCTCACACAGGAAGTCTCCAGCAGCCCGTGTGTGTGTGTGTGTGTGTGTGTGTGTGTGTGTGTGTGTGTGTGTATGGGTGTGTGTGTAACAGTGGGGGGGACAGAGGACTGGGGCTCCAAGAAATCCAGCCTGGCTCTGGGTGGCTGAGAGGCCCAGCTGGCGGAAGGCAGAGCCTGGGACACCGCAGGCCTGGGACAGGGCAGTTTGGGGGGCCGTCCTCTCCTAGTGTGGCTGCTCTGGAACCACTTCCTCGGAATCACACCAGATGGGCTAGCAATCTGGACCCTCATTTTTCACAGTCGCCACTCACGGGTATAACAAAACACATGCTCTACAGCTATAAAGTCTGAACATTAAAGCAAATTAAAAATGTTTATTTATGTGCATTTAAAAATATCTCCCTATATAATAACAGGAAGTACGTTTTCATCTGGCACTCTCCTTAAATTAGCACTCGTCTCCACTGCACTTTTGATGTGAGATCAGAAGAGAGAGAGGAGGGGAGGGGAAAAGGGGGAGAGATGGAGCACTCACTGGTTTGGTTTCCTAAGTAGTTCCTTTGCCAAGTAGTACCCCGACTTCCTCTGGGATGCTAGCAGTGGTCCGCCATGCTTGGTAGCTGACTGCGTGGTCAGTTGTATGATCTAAAACTGGGGCTTCAGTGGGTAGATTGGCTTATATGGACCATGTCTTCCAATGCTGGGGTTTTGTTTTTTTTATAAAGTATAGATCTTCCCCGCAGTGGCTGTGGGAGGGGAGAGGACGGCAGAAAGGTGTGATCTGAGGGTACAGCCTAGATGGGGTCAGACTCCTAGACTCTAGGCCTGACCCAGCTCTACTCCACAGAGTGAGTTTTCAAAGTCCTTCCTCTTCCGGGCCTCAGTTTCCCCATATGAAAGGAGTGGGCCCCGTGACTACGGCTGATGCTCAGTAGTCATCCATGATGTGTCTGCTTCAGGAAGGCTGAAGCCCTGGCCCTGTTCCTTCCCGGTCCCCCAGGGCTGGCTCCGTCCAGGGCTAGATATAGGGAGAGCAGGGGCTGCTGGGAAGAGGCCACAAGAGGCTCTGGAGCTAAGGCCGTGCTTCTGTTCCCTGTTCCTCTGGTTCTCTGTGCCTTCCATGGGCTCTAATGAAACCAGGGTGCCAATGGGAGGGGGTGGTTCAGTAAAGCTGCCTCGAGGGAGGAGGAAGGAGCGTACTGGCTGAGCCTCCTTGGGATGCCCAGGCACAGCCCATGACCCTCTTGTTTAATCTCAAAACTCAGAGATTCAGTGACCTCATGCCTCTGAGACGGTGTCCTCAGGTGTCAAATGGGGCTGCACAAACCTGTCCTCCCAGGCTGCTAGAAAGAGTTAATCTATATCGGATACGAGTTCATCTAGTACACACAGTAGGGCTGGGTGAGTGCTCCTTCCCTTCACACTCATGGCCAAGGGGCTCCTTCCTGGGTCTGGAGAGCCCCTGGCCTGCCCTGCGGGGCCAAGTTCAAGGAAGGAGCAGCTGGTGGAACTTGGGGCGGGGAGGTGGGTTTGGGATTGACCAGGCCAGGCCTTTTCCCCAAGCTCTTGCTTTGATTTAACCCCTCCCACCTCCTGCCAGGCTCCAGGGGTGTGGGTAGCAGCTCCTATCTTCACTCTCCTCAATGGTCTCCCCGTGTTGGCTGTTGGTAGGATGACCCTATGGAATACTGTCTGAGCTGGGACACTCTTAAGGGTGAAAGGGACCCAGCTGGCAAGGCTCAGTGGTTGAACATCGACCTATGAATCAGGAGATCACGCTTGCATTCCTGGTCAGGACACATACGCAGGTTGCAGACTCCATCCCCAGTGTGGCATGTGCAGGAGGCAGCCGACCAATGATTCCCTCTCATCATTGATGTTTCTATCTCTCTCCCCCTCTCCCTTCCTCTCTAAAATCAATAAAAAAAAAAATTTAAGAGTGAAAGGGGAACAATTTTTAATGCATATGTCGGTTCACTAGCATTACTGGTTCATTCCCACAAAAACCAATGCATATAATCACTCTAGCTAATAATTTCCCATTCTAGCCACAGGCTCTCTGGAACACAACACTCTCAGTCACCAATTTCCAACCGGTGTGCTGCAAGAATTTTTCAAACATGTAATACCTGACTATTTAGTCAGGGGCACTGACCTCTTTTCCCTTAGATTGTCAATAAAAAAATGACAATAGCCAATATATTTTTTGGTGTGCCGCAGACTTTTAGTAATGACAGTATATGTATCATGAGATGAAGAAAAGTTGAAAATTGCTGCTGTATGAAAGGTGGCCCATTTGACAGATGTGCAATCATAATATTACCATGGTCATACTGCTGATGGTGGACAGGAGCCCAGGTCACAAACCATCACAATGACACAGTGGCGCTTACCCAAACCTCCCTGCTTCACTTTCATCCCAAGGGGAAAGGGAATGTTCCGGACCACTACTGGCCTGGGATCTCCATGAGGCCTGACTCTGCCACTGGTGTCATTCACCCGCTGTGTGCCCTTGAGTGAGAAACTAAACCTCTCTGTGCTTCAGGGTCCTCATGTGTAAAATAGGGAAAATACCCTCTGTCTCCCCAGGTCACTGTGTCGATGAACTAAGACCTAGTCTAGGATCTGATATACTTTAGGTACTCAATAAATGTTAGTGAATTGGATGATTGGGTAAATATCTGACCAATGGCAGGAATGGGTAACAAATGTTGAGCCCCTGCTATGTCCCTGGCCCCGTGCTAAATGTTTTCCATGCACCATCTCCCTGAATTCCTCATAAGGGAACTAAGATTCTTTTATTTTTATTTTTTATTTTTATTGATTTCAGAGAGGAAGGGAGAGGGAGAGAGAGATAGAAACATCAATGATGAGAGAGAATCATTGACTGACTGCTTCCTGCACGCCCCCTCCTGAGGATGGAGCCCACAATCCAGGCATGTGCCCTTGACAGGAATTGAACCCAGGACCCTTCAGTCCGCAGGCTGATGCTCACTGAGCCAAACCAGGTAGGGCAGGGAAGTAAGATCCTTATTCCCATTTTCCAGATGCAGAAGTGGCAGTGCAGGGACGTTAAGCAATGTGGGCAAGGTCACACAACCAAAAAGAGGAGGCACTGGGACGCTGGGACCCACAACGGACTGACTGTTCGTGCCCAGCTGAGGAAAGAGAGGCCCAGAGAGGGGAGGTTACTTGCCCAAGGTCACGCAGGAGACGGTGACGGAGGCCTCCAGACCTCCCAGGATTTCCATCGCGGACACCCCCACCTTACGCGCGCTTGGCCCCCTCCAATCGTAGTTCTGCGCGAGGGGACGCGCATCCCCCCATCCCTACCCCTCCTCCGCCTGTCCATTTGGGTGTCTTTGCGGGCGCAGCCGTGCACCCCTCCCCAGCCTCCGGCCCTGCGTAGGGAGAGACCTGTGTTCGCAGCTCCGCTCTCGGCGCCCCGCACCCGCAGCCGACAGACGGCAGCGCCTGCGCTCGGCCCCCGAAGCCGGTGCAGGAGCCGCGGGGCGAAGGCGCGGCGCTGGCCGGCGGCGCAGCTCCCGATCCGCCGCTCGCTCCCTGCGCGCTGCGCTGAAGGGAAGACCAGCCGGGAAGCCCCGGCAGCCTGCCCTCCAAGATGAAGAAGCTCCAGGAAGCTCAACTGCGAAAGGTAGGGCTCCAGAGCGGGCTGGGGGCGCCCCTGAGAGGGGAGTGCGGAGGCCCGCCCCCAGCAAGGCCCGGGGAAGGCAGGGGGAGGGGGAGCGCCAGGACCCAGTTCTGAGCTCTGGGGAAGGCCGGGCCGAGTGGGATTGCAGGGAGGGGCGGGTCACGGCCTAGGCCACCCCATACCACCCCACCCCCGGCTGAGGGTCGGGAGGTAGTGTGTTTAGGCCTGGGGTGCAATGGGCCAGGTCCTGGAAACAGGTGTCTGCAACCCAGGAGGTGGGAAGTAGGGGTGGCTAGGGCCAGGCACCCATCCCTCTCCAATCCCCCTAATCTCCCCTCCCCCTTGGGATGATGGCGGGGGTAGGGGTGAAGGTGGGTAGAATTGCTGAGCACCAGCTTTGAGCTGGACTAATTCCGTGGGGGAGAAGGGGTCGGTGCCGACATGGGCCTGGTCCTCCCCTGTGCACTCTAAGCTGAAGCAGCCTCTGCCATCCAGCCCCTGCCCCTGCCTGCCTCCTCCCCACCTCCCCACTGCCTTCCTTCCCCAGGCAGCTTAGTTGTCCCTGCTAAGACCAGGCTGCCCCTCAGCAGGGCAGAAGGAGGCAAAGGCAAGGAGTGAGGAACTTGGACACCCAAGGGATGTGGGGGTGAGAGCTGACATGCCAGAGGCGTCGGCCAAACCTATGTGTTCCTGGGCCCTGGGCCCAGCCCTCGGCCCCTCCCCACCTTGTCCTGTGGGGCTGGACCTCCCAGCCAAGTGGCACCGGCCTGGGGAGGGAGAGTATTGGCCATGTTTTCTGGCTTTGGGCTAAACACTCCCAGTCCCAGCCAAGGAGTCAGGACTCCAGGGCATTGTTTCTGCAGATGTCCCTTACCCTGTGGCTTTGGGCATGTTCTCTAATCTGGACCATTGTCTGTCCATCCCCCACGTCAGCACCAAAGCAGGACCTGTCATAGGTGCTGGTGGGTGCGAGACAGTTGTCCATCAGAGCTGGCGTTATTGTCCACTCTCCTCCTCCAAGGCTCTCCCCTATTTATTTAAGCTCTCGCCCTGGGTCAGCCGCGTGGGACCGCGGTGATAAGTGGGTCCTTTTTCCTCCTGACATGAGTAGCCATTGGAGGGTCTCTTGGGGCTTGAGTTCGGCCTGGCTATTTTCTCCTCTCTTCCCTTTCCTCCCCTCCCCACAGCAATCCCGCCCCTCATTGCTGTGGCCACACATTATGTAAATAGCTATGTTTTGTGAAGCCTTATCTCCTGTAATCCCCCAACCATTCTGGGAGCCACGGCTTATGATCCCCACTTTATAGACAGGGAAACCGAGGCAGAGAGGGGCGTCGCTTACTGCTTTCCTGAAGGTGGGCTGAGCAACCTAGAGCAGGGGGTGGGGCCCTCTAGCCTCAGGGTCCCCTCCCTTGGTCTGAAGGGGAAGGGGGCAGGGAGACAGGAAATGCCAGGTTATCCGCCAAGGAGCAACAGTGTTCAGAAATGAGCACTGGGCTGAGCATCAGGGATCTGGGTCCTGGTCTTGCTTTGCCCTTAACTTGCTGTTTGACCTTGAGCTCCTCCCTCCTCCTCCTCCCTGAAACTCATCTGCACATGGATGACGCGGGTTCGGGATTCCTAGCTCCTCTCATCCTGAAAAGGGTATGAGAGCCTTGGCTTAGGTGGTCCTACCTCTCCCAGCCCCTGGTGCTGCTGGTGACCTATATCTGCGAGTCCCTAAAGGAGGAGGTGTAGGTCTGCCAAACTCAGGTGTGTTCCTTCTGGCTCTGGGTGGGGAGAGGAGGGGAGGGGTAATCCGGAGTGGGAGCCTCACTCACACTCAGCGGAAGTGTGAACTGACTCATTAAGCTTCCAGTCCTGCCCCATTGATGCGGTTGCTTTCTGCCGTCTCCGAACTGGTTCCGTCCTCTGTTCCAGCCCCTGGGATTCACTCCATGGTGGGATTGGGGGCTCCTCCAGCGATGGAGGACCCCATTCCCTGCCCCTGGAGCAGAAACAGGCTTCCTCTGATTGGGGAAAGAGAGGGATTGAGATGCTGCCAGCTCTTGGAACTCTTGTCACCATGGAAACAGAGAGCCGGGCCGCTCTGTGAACATAGAAAGGGCAGCAGCTTCTCAGAAGAGATCAGAGGAACCTCATTATCGGGCCTTCCTGCCAGCTGGCCGGGATGGGGTTGGGGGGCTCTCAGGGTGACAGGCCTGCCTCACGACTCAGTATCCGTCCGCCCGTGTCACCTGGCATTATCCCATCCCTCCTGGAGCTTACCTCCGAGGACATCGTGGTTCCGGAGGGCTGATGCTCACCTGGCTGGTGAGGGAAAAGGCATCAGGGGGAAGGGGCAGTTTTCAGATAGGTCTGAGAGCTGCTGCTACCCTAACCCGAGCCGAGGTCACAGCTGAAGAACCACCTGGCATATATTTCAACCCTGGGAGCCCATTTTCTTCAAAAGCAGCTTTTCGTGTTCTTCATGATTGTCACCATCACCCATAATCATGCCAGGCTGTCCCAGTCACCACTACCCTTCCTCAGGTAGGATCACCCCATGCTCCTCACTATCACTGAGAGTCACCCCAACATGGTTACCCCATTTCTGCCACCTGAGCCTATTGCACCAACCCTGTCACCTCAGCCAGTCACATCCAGTTCCTGACACTTGCACTCTTCATCCCAGCAGTGCTCATGTGACAAACCCCCAGCGGAGCCTCCTCTGTCGCCAGCTGATTTGTGTGTAGATACCTGCTTGGCCCGGTGGCAGGAAGGGTGATGTTAGGGGAAAACACAACCCTGATTAGTAGCTCTTTCCTGAGCCCCTGCGTGTGACTCTGGCCTGGTCCTGGACCACTGCAGGTGTCTCCAGCGAAGAATCTTGCCTCACACATCAGAGCCAGAGACTATGAAGTAGAGATTATCTAGACCTATATTTCCCCAAGTCCATCATGGCAGTCCGGCTCCTTGAAACCCTTTTCTTAAGTAGGATTGGGAAATACTGTCTATTCCAGCCCCTATTTGGAGAGTCACAGTGCCATTGGTCCATTAAAGGATCTGACAAGTCCATGAAGAGAAGCCTGTCTTAGCTGTGTTAACCCAGCTTTTCCCACGTCCTTTGAATCAAGAATCATTTGTTCCACTGACTACCAAGGGATGTGTTTTGGGAAACACTCGCCTATCGAATCTCCGCAGTGTCCAGATGGGAAACTGAGGCCCAGGAGACTCTTCCCTAAAGTCATACAGTGAATTGGCACAGACCTGGGACTGGAATTGTGGTCTCCTGACTCCCAGTCCCGTGACATCGCTGCTTCCCCACAACCATTCCTCAGTAGGAAAAAGGGGCTTCTTTCGCTCTGAAAACCATGGATGTCTTTCATTATTGGCCTTCTCTGCAGCTCCATCTCTTTCTGCCATAGGTGAGACTTTCAGAGGCAAGCAGGAAAGGTAGAATTGCCCCTTTCTCCTGGCCCATTCCTGGAGCCACGTATGGAAGCTGCTCTCTGGATTTTAGGAGGCCATCCTGGTATCTTTGGGCTTAATTCCAGACCCTAAGCCCAGGCAGTCCATGGACGTGCTAACTCACATCCCTTGGGGCCAGGATTCCAAGCAGCTGATCCATCTCCTAGCCCGGCCTGAAGGGAGAATGCCGGTGGACTTCCCGCCCTCCTTGAATCACTCGGAGGCCCTCAGGGACAGCTGGCCTCCATTCCCTCTGTATACATCTGCCCTCCTGTGACAGGAAGATTATGACTTCTGAGACAGATCGGGGCCTAAATAGCGACTTCCTGATGGTGAACTAAAATCCACAGTCCTCTGTAGGCCCCAGGCGCATAAATCTACTCCCTTCCTCAGGGGAGCTCAGGGTCCCTCCGAGCCCTCTCCTTTCTATGCTCAGCGTTCCCAGTTCCTTCCTCTTGTCCTCAAGTAACCGCTTTTCCTGAGCAACCTCCAGTCTGGCCACCTGCCCTTTGGACAGGCTCCAAACTGCCTGTGTCTTTCTAAAATATGGTGCCCAGAATGGAGAAGCTGAACTTCAGCCCTGTGTGTGAAGACCTGGGCTTGGACTGCAGGAAGCTCTCTCACTCCCCAGCCTTGTAAAAACCTCAGGCATGGCAGGACTCCTCTTTGACCTTCAGTTTTCCCCGTCGTTGAAATGGAGCTTAGATGAATACTTTGCTCACAGGGTTGTTTTGAGAATGAAATCAAGTAATGGGAGTAAAATGTTTATTGCATAATCATAGTACGTGCTCAATGCACGGCGACTGTGGTAAGATCACCATCATTATCATCATTGTTGTCATCTTCAAAATAGGACCATCCCTTGATTTGACCTCTGTGGTAGCCAAACGAAGATCAAGGTGGCTTTCTTAGTGCCCGAGCAACCTTGCTGGTCTCATAAGTTTGCAGTCACTGGAAACCTCGAGGGGCTCCTGCTTATGGGCCACGTTAGCCCAGATGAGAGGAATTGATCATCTGAACCAGTGGTCGACAGACTCATTAGTCAACGGAGCCAAATATCAGCAGTAAATATCAGCCAAATATCATACTGAAATTTCTTTTCAGAGCCAAAAACCAACTTCTGTGCATGGGCCACGAAGTTTCAATTGCACAGCACATGGTATTTTGTGGAAGAGCCACACTCAAGAGGCCAAAGATCTGCATGTGGCTCGAGAGCCGGTTTGCTGACCACTGATCTGAACCAACAGAATGTCTTTTTTGGAGCCCTATTCAAGTCTATATCCTTGTATTGGTTGGTGGTCACAGTTCCATCCTAGCCTCACCTTGCTCTTTCACCCTTTTGGTTTCTCTTATTGGCAGCCCGTCACTCCAGACCTGCTGATGACCCCCAGTGACCAGGGTGATGTAGACCTGGATGTGGACTTTGCCGCAGACCGGGGGAACTGGACAGGCAAACTGGACTTCTTGCTGTCCTGCATTGGCTACTGTGTGGGTCTGGGGAACGTCTGGCGTTTCCCCTATCGAGCCTACACCAACGGAGGAGGTACGGGCTGAGGTCTGCCTGAGGGGCGGCCTAGTGATGGGTCAAGGCTCCGGGTGGACTGAGGTTTGAAGTAGCCTTAGCTACTGTCTCCTATTGAACCTTGAGCAGAATTAGCTGGATGTGGTTTTATAGAAACCTGGACTGGAAAGAGGGAGTCACCTGCCTTGTCCCTTTCATCACCCAGGCCCCTCTTCCCTTTCTCTCATGGGTGTGACCCAGGAAGCCCTAAGCCTTGGCATCTCCTGGGCCCTGAGTGATGGGCAAAGGGCTGCCTCTACTTCATGAGGAAGAGCTGTATCTGCCTGTCAGTGATCACTGCACTCCCAATATCCCCCCTCCCACACACACACCTCCTCCAGATCCTTACTCTATCAATAATTCCCGCTCGTGAATCCTCTCTTCCTCTCCTGGTTCCTTCCATTCTGACTGTGAACACAGAGTCTCTCCATCTTAAACAAATTATCTGTGGTCCCTCCTTCTCCATCAAGTGATTGTTCTACGTCTTATTACAATAGCTGGGGTTGAACACTCACTATCTGTCAGCCCCAGGCTTGATGCTCTCCATGGCCTGTCTCATTCAACCCTGACAACAGCCCCCTGGATGGGCACCTTTGTCCCGATGAGGAAGCCTGGGCTTGGAGAGGCCAGTTTCTGGCCCAAGGTCCCATAGTGGCCGACCCAACATCCCACCCAGGACTACCTTCTGCAGAGCCGGTGCATGCCCACCAGCAATCCATATCTCCTCCCATCTCTACCAAACCTGTTAAAGAAGCTCATATTGTCAGGGCGACGGAAATCCAAATAAATGTACACGAAGCAACGACAGATGAATGATATCACTGGGAAGGGGAGGTCTGGAGCTGGGCCCTGAAGCTCCAGGAACTTCATAATATCCCCAGTTCTCTCTGCACACACCCCTCCCCCCCTCCCAACCCCCCGATTCCCGACTCTTTTTCCCTCTGTATTCTGGCCTCATTTTCCCCTTGGACGGGCTTTCTCCTTGCAGTTGGATGGCCAGAGACAACTCTGGAATGACTTCCTCCTCAGAAGTGCCATCCGATGAATCTATATGTAATTGCAGAGAAGGTCTCTAATTGGCCTGGCTTGGGATATGTGCCCGTGAGGAGGTGGGCAGGGATTGGCTGCTGCCACTGGCAGCCCCTCCAGAGCCATATGGTGGTGGGACGTTCTCTAAGGAGTTAGCTGCCAAAATGTGAAGAAAGGGGGGAGACATGGGACCACAGGTGGCAGCCACGAGCACCTGAGGTGGCTAAGTGGGTGTGTGGCGGCCCGGTAGATGGGAGGCTTGATTTCGGCGCTGAGGAGTTTGTCCTTTCTTCAGCAGGAAGTCACTCGTTTATTCACGCATTTGTTCGTTCAGTGTCTGCTCTGAGCCCAGCCCTGGTTTAGGCACCAGGGCTGTAGAGGTGAGTGAATCTCTGTCCACCCCTTGGCCCTCAGTGATGGATGGTAGAAAAGAAGACAGTCCCAAGCCACAAGAGAAGCGTTCCCTCAGGTCACAGGTGGTGTCCACAGGTCAGGGGTGGGGCGGGGCTGGAGCTGGGCTTTAGGGGAGCTGACCCCCTGCAACCCTGCCCCCACCCCTCCCGCAGGTGCCTTCCTCGTGCCCTACTTCCTCATGCTGGCCATCTGCGGCATCCCTCTCTTCTTCCTCGAGCTCTCTCTGGGCCAGTTCTCCAGCCTGGGACCCCTGGCCGTCTGGAAAATCAGCCCCCTTTTCAAAGGTGAGGCCGCAGGGGCCCCTGGAGTGGTCTGGGACTGGGGGAGGCCAGGTGATTGCCCCCTACCCCTTAACCTCCAGAAAGGGAGGGCTTCTGAGGGGAAGCACAGCCGGCCCCAAGGAGGGCACGGCCTGAGGGCAGCCCCTATCGCCACGCCAGGTGCCGGCGCGGCCATGCTGCTCATTGTGGGCCTGGTGGCCATCTACTACAACATGATCATCGCCTACGTCCTCTTCTACCTCTTCGCCTCCCTCACCAGCGACCTGCCCTGGCAGCACTGTGGCAACTGGTGGAACACAGACCTCTGCCTTGAGCACAGAGGCTCCAAGGATGGCAACGGGGCCCTGCCCCTCAACCTCACCAGCACCGTCAGCCCCAGCGAGGAGTACTGGAGGTCTGGGGGGGCCCACACGCTGGGGGGTTGGGGGAGAGGAAATGAGCCTGAGTCCCCAAGGGGCCCAGTGTTGACTTCAAAGATGCCAGTATTTGGTGGACTCTGCATTCTAATCCCAGCTGTTCGCCTGACCAGCCATGTGACCTTAAACAATTTATTAGGCTTCTGATGCTTTATCATATATATATATATATATATATATATATATATATAGAGAGAGAGAGAGAGAGAGAGAGAGAGAGAGAGGAAGGGAGAAGGATAGAGAGCTAGAAACATCGATGAGAGAGAAACATCGACCAGCTGCCTCCTGCACACCCCCTACTGGGGATGTGCCCGCAACCAGTGTACATGCCCTTGACCAGAATCAAACCTGGGACCCTTCAGTCCGCAGAACGATGCTCTATCCACTGAGCCAAACCAGTTTCAGCATGATGCCTTATATTAAAAAAAATATGTGTGTATATATATTTTATTGATTTCAGAGAGGAAGGGAGAGGGAGAGACAGAAACATCAATAATGAGAGAAAATCATTGATTGGCTGCCTCCTGCACACTCCCTACTGGGGATCAAGCTGGCAATCCAGGCGTGTGTCCTTGACCAGAAATCAAACCCAGGACCCTTCAGTCCCACAGGCCAACGCTCTACCCACTGGCTAGGGCCTGATGCTGTACCTTTAAAGTGGGCATGATAATAGTATTTCAGAAGGTTGCCACAAGGAGTAAAGGAAGGAAGGAAAGCATATAAATTTTGCCATCCAGTCTGGTGGGTAGCAAGTGCTCAATAAATGCTAGCTGATAATACTGATCATGGTGAAGGTACTGACAGAGATAGTAACCTCTTGGGGCCTTAGTTTCTGCCTCTGTAAAAGGTTTGGGATGAAAATAGTTCCTCCTCCATAGGATGTCATCCATTGGCTGACCAGAGGACTCAGACCAGGTACCCAAGCCCTTCATCTGCCAAGGGCTGCTCTTAGGACTCTTCCCCCAGATGGTCCCCTTGTCTTGAAATATTTTGGTCTCCAGCCTACATTTATTATGCCGCTCCCCCGTTTGTCCGTGCCAAGTCCACCCAGAGCGTGTGCCCCTGCTGAGGAGTATGTCTGGCCAGTGGGAAAGGCCAAGCTTGGGTCTGCAGCTTAAAACCAAAGTGTGACGTGAGGGCCAGGCAGCTGCCGGGGTTTCCATGGAAGCACGGGGACCCACTGAGTCAGGGGGTGTGCAGGCAGAAAGCAGATAGCACTCGCCCAAGACTTTAGCAAAGGGAGCTCAGTGGAGGGAGGTGACAGTGTGAGGGGATCCACACGGAATGGCGTGGCACTAGGAACTAGCAAGTGGATCAGCTGTAACCCCCCTGAGCCAAGGAGCAAGCAGAGGGACCCAGGGAACTGGAGCCAGGGAGATCCATGGCCTTGGAGGAAAGACTGCCCAACCAGAGCTTGCTATGGAAGAAGGCATTTACAGCCAGGCCTTCTGATGCATGTGTGTGCGTGCATGTATATGTAAGCATGTGCACACGTGTGCGTGTGCAAATACCCTAACCCCTCACTCCTCCTGCCCTCCAGTCTCCTGCTGTGGCCTCCCATTAGCCAAATCCAAATGGAAATCAAAGGGGATGGGCAGCCTGGGCGATGTGGTCTGTAGAGGCAGCCTCCAGGTGCTGAGGACAGGCCCCATCAAGCGGAAGCTAGCCAGGATCACCTCGCAGGCTGGCCACGGGTTTCCTCCATGTTCATGGAGCGTGACCAGCGGACACTCAGACCTTCGTCTCCCACAGCCGCTACGTTCTCCACATCCAAGGCAGCCAGGGCATCGGCAGCCCCGGGGGGATCCGCTGGAACCTCTGCCTCTGCCTGCTGCTCGCCTGGGTCATCGTGTTCCTCTGTATCCTCAAGGGTGTGAAGTCCTCAGGCAAGGTGAGGCCCCAGGGGCTGGGAGGGGGCAGGGCATGGACTGAACCTAAGAGGGTGAGGGGAAGGGGAAGGGCATGGAGCTGGGGAAGATGTGGAGGTGAGGACGGGCAGTGGCTAGGCTGGTTGGCTAGAGTAGGAACTTGCCAAGGGCAGGATCCATGTGTTATTCAGGTTTGTGACCTCGTGCTGGCACTCTGAAGAGGCTCCGCACGTGTTTCTTGAAAGCTCGGAGGGTGGCTGTGACTCAGAGCCCTTTGAGAGGCAAGTGGCCAGAACCCAGTTGTCACGTTGGAAAATGCAGAGTGTGTGCTACAGGCATGACTGGGTCTAGGAGGCAAGTGGAGGGAACATCCCGGCCCGTGGGCCGCCTAAGTTCCGAGAAATCATTTGGTCTGGACCTGCCCAAGCAGTAGGGGTGAGTTAATAAAGTGTTTGACCAAACAGAGCAGGCTCATTTGAAGTTGGTAATTGTGTATGGCCCTTGGGTGATGTTGTAAGTAGCCTCGGCAGAAAAGAGATCTAGGGGTTCAATGAATGTTATTAGGACTGTGGTTCTCCCATCTCTCAGGCGTGTTCTCAGGCTTCATTCTTTATGTGGTTGCTCAGCAGCTCTGGGCTACCCTTTACATGCTTAGTGAAGGGTTCCCCCTTCCCCCCATTTGCAGAATCCTAGAAGTGAGTCTTATTGGGTGAGCTGATTGCCATACCCATCCCTGAACCAGTCACTGTGGCCAGGAGGGTGTAGTGCTGGGCCTGGATCGCCTGCCCGCCCCAGGAGCCAGGAATGGAGTCAGCCCCAGCTGGGGAGAGTCAGGGGGCTGTCATCTGACGAAGCCACAGGTGTCCACTTTAGGCTGTGAAGGGCAAGAAGGCCATAACGCTGTTTGGAAGGACTTGGAAACCCGAATGGTTTACTTAATCATTTATAAATCAGAACTGTCTCTCTGCAAAGTACTCAGAAGTGATGTCCATTTGGAAGAGAACCATTAACAGAAAGACTAGGAAGCCAGAGCAGAAAGCCTTTAGACAGAGAGGAGAGGTCATCGTGGTGCGAGCCAAGACCGTGGGGAGCCTGGGACTCGACGGTGTCTGCTGAGGGCGGAGACAGGGCCGCAGGGGTGTCCAGTCTGGTGGTCATGCTGGCTGATGACCACATGGGGTGGGTTAGCTGGGGGGAGAGGGCAGGAGGCTCTTCTGACCTTCAGGGGAGGGGCGATGGTGGCCTGGACCAGGCCACAGTGAAGCTGGAGGGGGTGGGTAGATTTAGGACAGCCTTGGGAAGCAGTGACAGGACTTTGCTGAGGGGATTGGTGTGAGGAAGGAGGGAGGAAGGAAGAGAGAAAAAGAGGAAGGAAGGGAGGGAGAGAGGGAGGGAGGTTGGGAGGGAAGGGAAGGGAAAAGTAGCATCATAGGTTGATGGCTGTTTTCCATCTTAGGAGTAGGATGGGGCTTTCTAGAAGAGGAGCAGGGCAGAGGAAGTCACCCTGCCCTCCATTCCTACTTGCAGGTGGTGTATTTCACGGCCACGTTCCCCTACCTCATTCTGGTCATGCTGCTGATCCGTGGAGTCACTCTCCCTGGGGCCTGGAAGGGCATCAAGTTCTATCTCACCCCCCAGTTCCACTACCTGCTGTCTTCCAAGGTGAGGCAGTTGGGACTGGGGTGTGCAGGGAGGGGGCCAGGCCTGACCTGGGAAGTGGAAATAGGGGTCCCTGGAGAAGAGAGTGGGCAGGGGGTAGGAATCCCTCACGTGGTCAGCATCCAGGACCAGGCACTGTGCTCAGTCCTGTCTTCTTCATTTATTGTTTGTCACAATTCTATGAAGTAGACATTATTCTCCCATTTCACAGGTGAAAAAACTGAGGTCTGGAAGAGTCAGTGATCAGCTTACGGTTACATAGGGAGTGACAAAGCTGGACTTCTAATTAGATCTAAAGCCTTGGAGGAAAGGCTGGGATTCCTCCAGCCTGGCCTGATCTGTTTGATTCCAAATCCCATGGAGGGCATTAGTAATATTAGTCAACGATGGCTATCATTTCTTACTTATTGACAATGACTGTGCCTAAACATGCTCTCAGCACTTTGCATATATGTAGTCATTCAATCCTCATCACCAGCCTACTCCCATTCGCTTATTGCAGAGGGACCTGAGGCCCAGAGAGGTGATGTGTCTTTCCCACGCTATACAGCCAGAGAGTGGCAGAGCTGGGGTCCAAACCCAGGTCCCTCTGACTCCAGGAAGGAAGTTTGAAGGTTATACGGGTTTGTTGTCCATGTGAATTTCCTGAAAATTTTACGAGAACAAACTTGGAGATTGCCTTCTAGATCCCGGGTGGGGAAATTGAGGCCCTGAGAGGCACAGATGAATGTGAGAGGCACAGTCTGAGTGGTGAAGCTGGGTTTGCTCCCAGCCCAAGTCACTTGTGAGCCAGGCCCTTCCCCGTGCCATCCCTGGACCTATTGGCTGGCTCTCTCCCCACCTCCTTCCTCCTGTTTCCGTGGCACTCTGACACCTCGGTGTGCCAGCTGCTTCTCTTTGTCCTCCATCTGCACCCTTCTCGCCACAGGTGTGGATCGAAGCTGCCCTTCAGATCTTCTACTCTTTGGGGGTGGGCTTCGGGGGCCTCCTCACCTTTGCCTCCTACAACACGTTTCACCAGAACATCTATCGGTCAGTGCCGCCTCCCAGGGCCCAGGGCCGGAGCTGGGAGGAGAGGGGCGGGGCGGGTGGACGGGGAGGGCTTCTCCGGGTGAGGTTCACCCCGCCCGCGCCTGGACTTCTGGCAGAGACACCTTCATCGTCACTCTGGGCAACGCCATCACCAGCATCCTGGCTGGCTTCGCCATCTTCTCCGTGCTGGGCTACATGTCTCAGGAGCTGGACGTGCCTGTGGGCCAAGTTGCCAAAGCAGGTGGGCAGGCAGCCCGGGCCTGGTAGGCAAGGGTGTGTGTTAGGCACAGCTGGGTGGAAAGGGAGCCTGTGTGTGGACCAGCAAGGCTGTGGATAGGCATGCTGAGAGTGTGTACACACATGCACGCAAGTATGCACAGATGAACATGTCTCGGTTGGTCTCTGGGTGGCCATGTACAAGTGAGTGTGCATTAGCCTGTGTCCGGAGATGAAGGAACGTCTGTATGAGACTGTCTTGTATTTGTCACATGAGTAACTCCCTTTGCTTGTCCAAATGAGTCATATCCTGACTTGAGATGTCTGTGTGCAAGTGAATTGATGTTGTGAGGGATCTTGGGAATCTGTGTCTTGTGCCATGGGACATGTTTAAGCATGTGTGTTAGTGGGACTGTTTGTGCACATGGTTGTGTACATAAGTGTACTTAAACGAGGTATTACTAATTTACTCATTATTCATGACTAATTCATTTGTTTTATCAACTTATGTTTATTGAGCACTGACATGTGCTGGCATGTGTCCTAGGAGTTAGTAAAGTGTCACAAGTGTAGAGATAGTGGACATCTTTGGGTTTGCTCAGGTGGGTGTAAGCGACCATGAGTGTGTGAGTGTGGATATGGGGGCCTGCCACGTGCCCCAGGCTGCTGACCCCGTGTGCCCTTGGCCCAGGCCCCGGCCTGGCCTTTGTCGTCTACCCGCAGGCCATGACCATGCTGCCTCTGTCGCCCTTCTGGTCCTTTCTCTTCTTCTTCATGCTGCTGACTCTCGGTTTGGACAGTCAGGTGAGCCTTGTCCATTCCAATAGGTGCCTCCTGGCATGTGTGCTGTGTGTATCTGTGTGTGCGTGAGATGCGTGACAGTGTGTGATCTGTGTGTGTCTGTGTTGTCTGTGGGTGTGATGTATGTCTGTGTCTCTGTGTGTTTCTGTGATGTGTGTGATGTTTGTGTGTGTCTGTGTAATTGTGTGTCTGAGTGTCTGAGTGTCTATGTGTAATGTGTCTGGAGTGTGATATATGTGTGTGTCTGTGTGGTGTACGTCCGTATCTGTGTGAGCGTATATGTGTGTGGTGGAGACAGAACTCTGAAATCCCCTTTCCTTCCCCCAGTTTGCCTTTCTGGAGACCATTGTGACAGCTGTGACGGATGAGTTCCCCTACTACCTGCGACCCAAGAAGGTCGTGTTCTCAGGGCTCATCTGCGTGGCCATGTACCTGATGGGGCTGGTCCTCACCACGGACGTGAGTGGCTGTGGGGGCCGGTGGCTGGTGGGCGAGGCTGGGAGGACATCTCTGGCTCTGTCTGTGGCCCAACTGGGCACTCCCTGAACCACCCACTTTCTTGACCTCTCTGGGAGGAACCTAGAGCACCCCAGACTCTCTCTCCCAAGGGGCACCTTGGCCTATGACCCAGAGTCTTGGCTTTGGAGTCTGAAAGACTCGGTTCAAGCCTCGCTCCTGCACTTGTTGAGTAAGCTCAGGACAAGTGGCTTCACCTCCCTGAGTCTGTTTCCCATCAGTTAAACGGGGGCCTGAATCTAAGGATGCTGTCAGACTCAAATAGGCATGGCGGGTGGACAGAGGTTTGCTGACATCAGCTGGCTCTCCCCCCTCACCACGCTCCCCTCCCCAGCCTGGCTGCTTCCTGCTTAGAGAAGGGGCTGCAGCAGGGAGCCTGGCCATGGTGAGGGGACCCCAGAGCTGTGACTTGTATTCCAGGGGGGCATGTACTGGCTGGTCCTTCTAGACGATTACAGCGCCAGCTTCGGGCTCATGGTGGTGGTGATTACCACATGCCTCGCTGTCACCCGGGTATATGGTGAGAGGGGCTGGGAGAGGCGGAGTTGAGGCTCCCCCTGTGGGAGATGGGAGTCCCCCCAGCAATTAGGTCCCTGTTCCCAAAGGCCAGGGTGTTGGGTGGGGGCCATTGGGTGGAGGAGGGGCTGCTGGCACTTGTGGGGCCTATGGGAGGGACCTGTGAGTGAGACCTATGGGAGGGACCTGTGGGTGGGGCCTATGAGAGTGACCTGTGGGTGGAGCCTATGGGAGGGACCTGTGGGTGGGGCCTATGGGAGTGACATGTGGGTGGGGCCTATGGGAGGGACCTGTGGGTGGGGCCTATGGGAGGGACTTGTGGGTGGGGCCTATGGGAGTGACCTGTGTGTGGGACCTATGGGAGGGACCTGTGTGTGTGGCCTATGGGGAATGACCTGTGGGTGGGGCCTATGGGAGTGACCTGTGTGTGTGGCCTATGGGGAGGGACCTGTGGGTGGGGCCTATGGGAGTCACCTGTGGTTGGGACCTGCTCCTCTCCTCCCAGGCATCCAGAGGTTCTGCCGGGACATCCATATGATGCTGGGCTTCAAGCCGGGCATCTACTTCAGGGCCTGCTGGCTGTTCCTGACCCCGGCCACCCTCCTGGTAACTGGGGTGGGTGGGAGGGCTGCTGGCTGGGGCCCCGAGAGCAGGGTCCCTCTGGGCATTCAGTCTGGTAGGGCTGAGGGGTGGGCTGGGCACCAGCATCAGGCCTACCCCCTCCCCCGGGATGTCCCCAACCTTTGTGTCTGTGCTGGGCCTCGTCCTCAGTTTAGTTGGCAAAATGAATGCAGCTTTCTCAGGCCTCTGGGTCTTAGGGCTGGGCCTTGAGGGTCTCCTTTCTCAACTTTGAGGTGGGAGCAGGTCAGGGATAGACCATCCCAGAAATTAGGGTTCTTCAGAGCTGGGCTGTCTCAGGCCTGGCCATTGGGTGAGCTTGAGCAGAGCTAGTTCCCGGCTCCAGAACAAAGACGGACGATCACGGTTTCTGGCACCACTTAGGACTGGGCTACCTCAGACACTGGGTGTGCTGGGCTGTCTCAGGCCTTGGGATGGCCCTGGGCTGGGCTTCCTCGGGCCCTAAGGTTGCTCCGCCCTGGGCTGGCCTAAGCCCTGGGGCCAGAAGGCGCACTGTGATGCTGGGAGCCCCCTCCCTGCAGGCCCTGCTGGTGTACAGCATCGTCAAGTACCAGCCCTCAGAGTACGGCACCTACCGCTTCCCTGCCTGGGCGGAGCTGCTGGGCATCCTGATGGGCCTGCTGTCCTGCCTCCTGATCCCAGCCGGCATGCTGGTGGCTGTGCTTCGAGAGGAGGGCTCACTCTGGGAGGTGAGTTGGCCGCAACCTTGCCTGCCCCCAGCCTCCCTGATCTGTGGCCTGGCTCACCTGCTAACACAGAAAAGATTCACACCAATACCTTCTCTGGGGCTTTGCGGGTTTTTTTAAGCGGGCTTCTTTTAAGAGCAGCTTTTCTAACCCGGACCCTGAGCTATGAATCAGCTCAAACCTATCTGGGCTGTGGTAGGCTTGCAGTTCTGCCCTGTGGCCCCTCTTATCTCTCAGGGACTCTGGGGGCCACAATCCAGAGGCCACCAATGTCAGCCAACGACTGCTTGTCTTGCGGAGAGAACAAGGAGCTTGCCCCACCGTGAGTCAGGCAGGGTCAGGATTTGAACTCTGGTCACCAACCCAGAGCTTCCCTATGGGACTCGGGGGCAGAAGCTAACATTGAAGGACCCTGGGTGGGGGTGGGAAGGGGCTGTCTCCCTCCTCCTGTGTCCAGGAGCCATGCAGTGGGGCTTCTGGGAAAGGGATGATGGCGGGAGCCCTCCTCATGGCCAGGGCTTAGTGGAGAGACCCATGGGGATCTAAGGAAGAGGGGATTAGTGATCCTTTGCGGGCGCATGGGCTTGCTGGGACGCTGTGTGGTCATGGAGAGATCCTGTCCCTCTCTGAGCCTCAGGGTGCCCTCTATACGGAGCCCTTCACCTCTGAGGCCATGGGTATGGAGTCCTCTGGTGGCAAGAGGCTGTCATAGGGACCAGAGCTGAATGAGCCTCTAGGCCAGCAGAGAGAGCCAGGGACCCCACCTCCTACCCCCATCAGAGATGTGTGGATCCAGCTAGCACTGCCTCATGAGAGCCAGTTGTGAAATATTCGAGACTATCGTTAGCCACTTGTCAAGCCATTGATAGCCCGAGGACACTGGTGGGGATATTTGCACCACTGAACCTGGGTACCCGTCAGGCCTCCTGTGCCCTTCACCCTCCTCCGCAGCCTGCTACCAGCATACCTCTCCCCACTCCCCACACAGCTGCACTGCCCCTCCGCTGTCCTCAGAGGGCTCAGAGCCCTTTCCTGGCAGAAGTGGGTTGTGGCCACTCTGCCCAGACCACAGGGGTCCTGGAGTCCAGCTGCTGTGTGACTGGGGGCTAACCCCTTGCCTTCTCTGAACCTCGGGAGCCCCACTCGTGCTACTGCAGAAAACATGACTTCTTGCTTGAGAGCCAGGGTGTCTGTGAAGGGAAGGAGGAAGAGGGGGTGCTCAGGTGAAGGGCTCCAGTCCCTCGAAGGTTGTGGTTCCCAAGCCTTGCCCTGCTGCCCCAGCTGCTCACAGCCGGTTGGAGAGACATGTCTTGGGGGTGGGGGCACTGCAGAGGAGTCATTGTCCAGCTCCAGAGTGGGACCTTCAGAGACCAGGGCTTCTAGTCCTGACAGACGCCTTCAAGGTGGTCAGTATGGAGAGGGGAGAGTGTCCCAGGCAGAAAAACAATTAGTGCAAAGGCCCAGAGGCAGGAGGGACTGGCATGTTTGGGGACAGCAAGGAGGTCAGTGTGACTGGATCAGAGAGGGTGGAGGGAGAGTGGCAGGAGCTGAGTCAGGGAGGAAGACCGGGGCCGGGACCCCGAGGCCTTGATGAGCACTTAGGATTTCATTCCAAGTGAGGTGCCCGGCTAGGGACAGGTTTCTGCGCAGTGGGGTGAACATGCTCTCCGTAGGTTTTAATAAGGGTCGCCACGTTTGAGTGCAGAGCCGTGCTGGGCCCTGGGCTAAGGGCACGGCACACATTCTCACCCCCGAACCCGCACCCGCATCTTCTTACTGCCGGTTGTCTTTCCTCCTCGGAGAGTCTGGGGCCCCTTCTGGCAGGGCGGGGGCTTCAGAAATGTGATTTGAGGAAGAAGGAACCTAGAACGTACAGGCTTACTCATTCTCTCAGTCAGCTTCCTCCTTCCATGGAAATGGGGCCTTGGAGAGGGAAAGGTCAGACATCAGAGTCAGAATGCGGCCGAAGGTCCGATACTTGGAAGGTCAGAGTCAATCCCTGCCTCAGTTCTCCAAGTTTAAGGCTCTTTCCCCAAAGCTGCCATCTCCTTAGGACTGAGCATTTGAGGGAAAGGGACCCAGCATGGGCTCCTGTATTGGCCTGACCCCATTCCCAGCACCCTGCACAGCAACCCCAACGTGGCATCATGAGTCCCAGTTACAGATGAGGAAACAGAGCTTACATTCTGTGCCCAAATTCCACCCAGCCCGAACGTGGCAGGCAGAGCAAGAGTCTCATCCAGGCGTGTGACTCAGTCCTCAGGGCGGGTAACAGTACCCCCATCCCCGGGCTGTTGCAAGGACTAGCCCAGGTGATGTGGAAGGTGCTGGGTGCCGGGTGCCTGGTGCTGGGCCCCAGGAAGCACTGCTCGAGTTCGGGCTGTTTCCACCGCTGTCTCTGCTCTGCTGCAGAGGCTCCAGCAGGCCAGCCGGCCCACCATGGACTGGGGCCCGTCACTGGAGGAGAACCGGACGGGCATGTACGTGGCCACGCTGCCAGGTAGCCAGTCGCCCAAGCCGCTGATGGTGCACATGCGCAAGTACGGGGGCATCACCAGCTTCGAGAACACCGCCATCGAGGTGGACCGAGAGATCGCCGAGGAGGAGGAGTCCATGATGTGAAGCAGGAAGCAGGTGGACAGGAGGTCCCGCCCCAGGGCAAAGGCAGCTGCGACCCCTGGGGTTCTGGGAGGCCTGAGGCTGTGGGAGGTTGCCATGGTGATGCCAGTCCTCAATGCAAGTCCTCCTTTGTGGTCTCTGCCTCTCCCGAAACCTCTATCTACCCCCTACACACACACACACACACACACACACACACACACACACACACACACACACTCCAGGCTGAGAATGATCTCGCTTGGCCCTCACTTCACAGATGGATAAACCGAGGCCAGGGAGGAGGACTTGCCTGGGGTCTCATGGCAGGGGGGAGGACTGAACCCCAGGCCTCCTGACCAGCCAGCTCCCCTTCTCTGTGGCAGCTGGCACTACCCTCTCATCTGTGTCCAGAGCACAGGCCCCTCCCTTGTCTCAGGAAGCCTAGCCCAAGCCTCCCACAGCCAGAATCTTGAGCAGGCAGACACTCAGGGTGTCTCCAGGCCCACCGGGCCCCGGGCATCGAGGGTTAACAAGTCGAGTGGGAGAGAAAGATCCCTCCTGGTTCCTGTGTGTGCGCAGGTCAGGTTTCTTGGAGGGTGGACAAGCTGGGAAGAGAGAGGAAGAGGAAGGCAGGATGGGGGAGGCCTCTGGGCAAGGGGCTGACCCTGCCAGTGTGGAGATCAGCATGTAGCCTCTTCCTCCTGCCCCGGGCCCAGGAGGGGGCTGACTGCCTGGGGCGGAGACCAAGGGCTGAGGAGCAGGAAGAGTGGCAGGAGGAGAAGGTACTAGGTAACAACAAATCCAAGTAAGGGTGAGGGATATTGGGGAGGGGACACGGGGTGGGCAGGGGATTGGCATGGTCTGTGTGTGCTTCAGAAAGAATGTTGTTCTGGGTCAGTGTGCATTGTGGTGAGAGGGGATGGGGTGGAGGGGAGAGGCCTGTGGAGGATGGGCAAGAGGGGCTGGTGGCCCAAGCAGCAAGTGTGATGGGGGTCACCAGAGCTTGAGGATAGAGATAGCAGAAGGCAGTGGACACTTCAAGCCTGGGGCCAGAAGCCTTGGTATCTTCAATGCCCAGGCACGGAGGGGCTGCCTGGTCCCTCCTTCCCTGAGAGAGGAGGGTGGGGGTGAAAATTCCTGAGCAGGTCTCCTGCACACAGCAGTCTCCCCACCAGTGGGGCTATGCCTGCCTTCGCGCCCGTCTCTCTTCTGGTGTCTCCCCAACCCACCTGTGTTCTGTTGGTTACTTGTCAATAAAACCCAATGAGGTCACCCTCCTTACCCTGTCTCCTTACTACAGAGAGCCAGGAGGTGGGCAGCAGCTCAGATAAGGAGACTGAGACTCAGCGACCTCCTGTCCTGGCTCTCCTGGCTTCTCTCCTGACACGCCGTTTTCTCTCTGGCAGTGGTGGGTGGGTGGGGCTGAAGGAGGAGGGTGAAGAAGATGAGGAAAGCCCCAGGAGATCACTTGGTCCCCCATTATACGTACGAACAAGCCCAGGCCCTCCGAGGGGAAGAGACCCGTCTCCCCACCGCGCCCATCCCAGGCCTCAGTGGGAGCTGACTAGGGACCAGGGAACCTCAGCTAGAGGACTCCATGACAGCGTAGTGGGCACCTGAAAGTTAACACAGCCCTGTCGGGAGTGGAAGCTCAGGGTTACTCAGCTGAGGCTGCAGAGCTGGGGCCAACCAGGACCTCTCCCTTCCGCTGTTCAGCCTTCCCTGCAGGGGCGGCTGAAGCTGGGAGACCAGGGTTGGGAGGAGCCAAGAGTTTCCCAGGCTGGAAGAATGTCCTGGTTCTCCCTACCCCCTCCTGGCGGGACCTGCCATATAAAAGAACCCAGAGCCTTTCAAATGCGAGGTGTTCCCAGGTGTTCACAAAGACTTTGATTGGGGGTGGAAAGGACGGGCCTGCATGCTGCATATTTTGGATATTAATAAATTTCCCCTAACAAAGGGCCAGGCCCCCCTCCCACTCCTCTTTGTCTGGGGCTTTAGGTGGGGGAAGAGAGGTGGGCTTGCTAATTTGCAAAGGATGTAAGAATGGACTTCACAATCCAGGGGGCTTCTTCCCACACCCAGGGGGTAGGCTCTGGCCTTGCTGACAGAGACCCTTGCGGCGACCCTGAGAGTGACCCTGACCCTGACCCTGTTTCTGGCCCTTCCCACCAGCTCTCAGACAGACTCTAGGCCCCATGGCTTTGCTTGTATTCCTCACACAGATATTTATTAGGAGTCGGGAACCAGAAGATCCTAGAAGTCCAGGCTTCTCCCTGGATTCTGAGTCTGCAATTGGAGGAGCCTAGGCACCTGGACCACTCCCAGCTTCGCCTCTCCCTGCCTCATCTCCCTGCCTGCTTCCTCCTGCCTCCCTTCCCCCTGCTCCCTACCCTGTGCTGGGCCTGTGGTTCCTGGACTGCCCTGCCTGGCCCAATCCTCCAGGCTGTCCTGCTTTTCCCATTTCCGCTGCTCCCAGACAGCCTGGCCTTCCGCACCATCCTTCCCTCCCTCTGCCGCCCGCCCGCACAGTCTCCCCACCGCGCCCATCCCAGGCCTCAGTGGGAGCTGACTAGGGACCAGGGAACCTCAGCTAGAGGACTCCATGACAGCATAGTGGGCACCTGAAAGTTAACACAGCCCTGTCGGGAGTGGAAGCTCAGCCAGGAATCCCGGACGGTCCTGACAACAATGAAATCCAGTGCTTTCAGGGCCTGGCGGGGAGCCCAGGGGAGCAAGGCTAGGTGGCAGCTGGCTGTTAGTATTGATTGGAGAGGCAAGAGGGAGCGGTGGCAGCTGGCTGTTAGTATTGATTGGAGAGGCAAGAGGGAGCGGTGGGGACTGTGGTGAGCTAGTGAAGGATGCCGGCCTCTCTTCAGAGAGAGTTACCCTCAGAAGAGTGGGCCCAGGTTGGAAGCTATCAAGGCTTTTAAGGAGGAGTTGGATGTCTGAAGTTTTATGAGAAATTTCCCATTTTTAAACATGGGCGACGGATTCAGAAGATGTGCAGAGGCATGGCTCAGTCAGGGCCTCCTGCCGCCTTAGAGGGATCATCAGCCCGAGGGGTGGGGCTTGTCCCAGGGCTCTCCACTCCATTCAGTGCACTGGTCTCCTCAGCTAATCTCTGTGATCGTAGCCCCTTGACCTTGAGAGGCTGGTGGGGGCCCTGCGAGGCAGCCTCTGGGCCTGCTGGGTGTGGTGGAGGGTGCCCTGGGCCCTTCGTTCCTGTTCTGGGACTTGTCAGAGAAGGCAGAGAAGGTGGTCTCTCGGGCGGTGCTGGAATGCACTGAAATCTGTCATCACTTCCAACCCAGGATCTGAGAGCAAACACGGGGGGAGGGGAAAGAGGGGAAGAGAACCTTATCATGAGGGCCTGCTGCATTCCCAAGGTCAAGTGAGGGTCAACAGACAAAACCAGGGGTCACAAGGGTTAGTGTTTGATCCTCAGTAGGCTCTGCCCCAGGTGTTCCTCCCGCTGGCCCGGCCAAGTTCATCCTTGCAGGCCTAGGCTCTTGATCCAGTGTCTTCCCCATCCACCCCTGGGAATCCTGCCGTTCTTGTAGGTCTTGAGTCCTTTCCCCTCCATTCCCACCAGTTGTGAACGTGGACCTCTAGAGTCTTGGGCTGGGGGCAGGGGGAGCGGGCTGGCTCAGTCCTACCTCTGATGAGCCAGGACAGCCCAGCCAGCCCAGCCAGCCTGCATGGGCCTCTGGGACTCACCACCTTCTGAGACAACCCATTTTCTTTCCGGGCAGGTAAGGCCTTATCCCGCTCCTTGGACCCCACAGGGCTTAGGGGCAGGGGGAGCAGGCAGCTCAGCCCTACGCCCGGCTTCATTCCCTGCTCTGCCCCTCCCTGCCTGTGTGTCCTTGGGGACCCACAATGCCAGTTCACAGCTTTGCACAAAGCCGCATCACGCTGAGAGCAGCTTGGTGGCAGTGGCTCTAGAGACAGCCAGCAAGGAGTTAAGATGTTCCCAGTCCCTCCAAATTCCACGTGACCCCGTGCTGCTGAGCCTTCAGGTCTGCGGTGGACGCTCTGCTCCAGACTCATTTTTTGCTGGTGGCTCATGGAAAGTTTGGCTCCCTGAGCTTCAGGCCACTCCCCCTGGGGCTGGGGCTGGGGCTGAGGCCTCGCTGACACCGGCCCTGCCCTGGAAGGGCGTCCACCGCCACCCCCCCCACCCCCCCCACCCCGCTTCCTTCAGCACCCCCTTGCTCATCTCCGCCTGACCCTCTCCCCCAGCACTGAGCAGCAGCCTGACCCCTCTGGCCTCCTCCCAACACCCTCTCCAAGATTCCTTTTCTTTGGGGGAAAGGATGCCTTTTCCCGGGAAAGTCCACAGCGTCTCTGAGCTGCAGCCCTTCGAGAGTGGTCGCAGGTAGGTGCCGAGGCCACCTTGGACATTGCTGGTCAGAGCCCGTCTGGGAGCCACTGCTCAAAAAGTGATCAGAGAAAAACATGGCAGGCAGCAACCCTCCAGGTGGGTTTCTCAGGAGCCTGCTGGCCCTTGTTTAGATAAAGAAGCTGTCCTAGCCCATTGTGCTCAGTGGTTAGAGTGGCAACCCTCAGACTGAAGGTTTTGAGGGTTCCATTCCGGCTGAGGGTACTTACCTCGGTTTCAGGCTGGATCCCTGGCTCCTATCGGGGAGCGTGCGGGAGGCAGCCAGTCGATGTATCTCTCTCACATCAATGTTTCTCTCCCTGTGTCTCTTCCCCTCCCTTCCACTTTCTCTAAAAATCAACGGGGGGAAAAAATATATCTTCGGGTGAGGATTAACAGCAACAATAAAAAAAAGAAAGAAAGAAAGAAACTGAGGCCCATCCCCTGCCTCCAGCCAACCAGCAGAAGGAGAGCAGGAGTGGTGTTGCTTTGAGCCAGAAACAGCCAAGATAGAGGCACAGGGCTCGCCGGCACCTTTCAGTTCCATGACAAGGAGCCTTGGAAGTGGGTCCTCAGTGTGTCCATCTGCAATGAATGGGTTGGACCGGAAAAGTGTGCCCCCTGGAGGTGCCTGGGGGAAGAGTGTGGACAGAAGGGAGCCACCTACCCAATCCATCCTTCCGCTACAGACCACCATGGAGGGCTGCAGGGGGAGCAGAGCCCCTTCTCTGAAACTGGGCTCAGGGATTGGCTCCTCTTGCCAGATGGAGTTCATGGTCAGGGGCCCTGTGGTTTCTCCAGAGAGCCTGGACGCCCTGCCAAACCAGGAGGAGATGGCAGTGGGACAGCAATGAAACCCTCTGGGCCCCACGCGTTCCTTTGACTTTGACTCTGCTGACCCAAGGTCAAGGTCTCGGCTATGGGGCTTTGGGGTGGCTCGGGAGTCAGAGGCAGGGGAGGGGCCTATGGTCAATATTGACCTAGTTGAGTCAGGAGAGTGCCATGGGGAAGCGGGAAGGCTGGGGTGGGGCTTGCCGATAACTGGATCTCCCAGCTCCAGGGTGACTGTGGGAACTGGGGAAGGGGGTGCTTAGAATTTCCAAGCAGGGTGCTTACTAAAACTACAGCTGCCTGGAGCTCTGCCCAGCCGTAACATAGCCTACTCTCTGAGGGCAGGGCCTAAAACATCTGTATTTTTAGCAAACTCCCCGGACGACTCTGCGGCAGCCATCCCAGTTCCCATATTTGGGGACACAAGTTCAACCCCATTGTAGTAATAATGAGGAAACTGAGGTCCAAAGAGGGAACATAACTCACCCAAGGTCACACGGTGGGGGGCGGGGGTTGATGATAATCACCTCCCCCCTTTCCTTGAGGGGAAGAAATATCTACCTCAGATAGCTCCATCCACCCCAGCTGTGGTGCCAGGCCCAGGAAGGGATGGCAGATCCAGGCTGCCCAGAGGGAAGTGGCCTCTGAAACCTTGGCAGGCCCAGGTGGAGAAGGGAGGGTGGGGCTCATCCCGGGGGAAGGATTGGAGAGGAGGCCATTCCCACTGGACTGGACCCGCTGGGCCTTGCCCTGTGCAAACATTCCCAGAACCTGCTGGGGGAGGGGTGTTTCCTAAAAGATTTCCTAGGGCTCCAGGGCAGGAAAAGCGTCTCCATTGCTGGGGATCCACCCGTGTCCTGGACAGGCATGCATGCCCTCAGCTCACTAGGTTGGTGCACATTTCCGGTCTTCCTCGGCCTCCTCCCCAGCCCTGACCCCTCAGCCTTTGCCTCCACTCCCCCTCACATGTCAACCTATGGGCACCTGCACAAAGCCCCCCCCCCCAGAACCCCCAGCTGCTGCCACGTGCTTCCTGCTGCTTCTGGCTTCCGCACACTTTGCACCTCCAGGTCCAGCCCCCGTCCCTGCCTGCCCTGAGTTCTGGGTCTCTGCAGGGCTCGTGCTTACTGGGGTGGTGTCAGATTTCTGGGACAGGAGCCCAGTTGGCTGCAGTCTGGACCTTAGAGTGGCCAAGATTCAGAATCTCACTTCCCTCCCTCACATGTGGGGCCATCTTGGGCTGGTTCCTTCCCCGTCTGCACTACAGGCTCCTCATTCATGGGGCCATGCTCACGTAGAGGAGGTGGGATGTGCAGACGTTATTGCAGAGGTGGGTGTAATGCTCAAGCCCCCACAGCATACAGTTCTCCCCCATTCCAGCAGCAGAGATCTGCCAGGGGTCTCTTCCGTGCAAGAGTGACAACTCCTGCTGCATGTGGCCTGAGCCTGGATAAGATGGGGTCGCAGCTTCAAGCCAGAGGCTGAGTGAGGTGGTGGAGGAGCCATGGAAGCCCCTAGAAGGACCTCCCCCGGTGTGTATTGGGAGAGAAGAGGAGACTCCCCCAAAAGATACCAGAGCTGTGTCCTGAGGGCGGGAGGTGTTGGGCTGAGCGGGAGAATGAGGGAGGTAGCCAGCCATCTACAGTGGGTTTTGGAATGGAGTCCAGGGGCAGTGAGGAGGTGGAGCCGGCGGGTGTAGACAACTGAGACATGAGGCAATGGCTGGAAGGGACAAATGAGTTCCTAAGAACCCCAGTCACTATGCGCTGGCTGCCCGGAGACGGAACTGGGCCAGGGCAGGGAGATCTTGGAGGAAGCGGAACCCTGCCCTGGAGCCCTGACTGTCTCGTAAGAAGCCTCTGCGTCTGTTCTCATTGTCTTCATCTTCAGAAGAGAGCTGTTGTGACTAGGACAAGAGGCGTGGCGAAAGGCCTGTGAACTATAAAAGACCATGCTCCGTTAGCTAATAATAGTGTCTTAAGTGGAGCTGGCACTGCCCGAGAGAGTTAAAGGTCAGCTGGAAGCGCCCAGAGCGTAGTAGCCCCATGGGCCCAGGACATCCTGTAACCTGCTCCTGTGCTTCCACCTGCTGGCCAGTGTCTGCAATGGCATCCCACGCCTCAAGCCCTGCCTTCTGCCCAGGCGGCGGATCCAGGGCTGGTGAAGGCAGAGCTGGGCGGCCTGGCACTAGGATTTGCAGGCTCCAGGGCAAGAGTGTCCATGGAAGCCCCCAGGCCCCTCTGCAATCAGCCTTGGCCTCTGCTCTCACTGAGAAGGTCCTCACGTGTGTGCTAGGGGTACATGCCCATGACACGCCCCCCGACCTCCCACATAGCAGCAGTGAGGATAGACCCAGAAAGTGGCTGGTGCAAAAATTCCGAAACCCCAGGACACCGGGAGCATGGTCAAGGGGGGACTGTGGGCTCCAGAAGGCATGTTCCCTGGTCCTGTGGAATCTACATCTCTGAGGGGACATGGCTTAGAGCGACCATGCCATCTGGTTTTCCCAAGACAGTCCCAGGCTTAGCACTGAAAGTCCCCTGCCAGCAAACCAGAATGGTGGGTCACCCTGGCTCAGCCTGAGTATCTTGGGCTCAAGGAACCAAATTGGCCTCAAATGTGGCCTCCAATGGGCCAGTGGATCCTCTCACGCCTTCCCTCTCTCCAGCCCCAAGGCCCCTCTCCCCAGGCACTCTGTCCACAGAGAGTTTGTGGGTAAAAAGACTCTTGTCCAATTTGCTCTCCATGGCCTCTGAGGCCTGGGGCTTGTCTGTGATGTTGGGCTGAGGGAAAGGAATGGTGGGGAGGGACTTCTGGAACAACCTCCTCCTTATTCAAGGAGCCCAGGCCTGGAGGAGAAGAGCCTTGCCCCAGGCCCCTGGGAGAGACTTTGCTGTTGGCTGTTTAGAGCCACCCCTTTGTCAAGGCCCCCAGGTGCCTGAGAGCCCCATCCCTGTCTCTAAGGTTGTGGCAGGTGGTCTAGGCATCATCTCACAGTGATTGCTCAGCCCTGAGTATGTGACCACGTTGGTCCAATCAAAATGAAGACCTGGCTTTTTTATTTTGCATCTAGGAAGGTCTAGAAACAACCTTCCAGTGTGTGCTTGACTCAGACAGGGAGATAGCCCACACAGAAGTTTGTAGCTATTTATTGCACTGAAAACACCGAGAATAAAACAGACGCCCCTCCCCCCTCCCACAATAGCATAAAGTTTGAGCAGTGTCATTCAAGTTCACAGCCACATATTTTTAAAAAACAGAAAAGGAAGAAAAAAAGAGAGAGAGAGAGAGAGAGAGAGAGAGAGAGAGAGAGAGAGAGAGAGAGAGAACTGAAACAAACCCCCAAACAAATAGTAGTAACAAAGAAACCAGCATGGGGAGTCTGGCAAACACATCCCCCAGAGGGTCTTCCGTGAAGGGAGACGGGAGTCCATGGTGAGGGTCAGCGCCATGTGGGCCTGAATCTGGGACACTTTCCTGTAAACGTGTTTGCATGCTGGAACCTAGGTCGGGTCTTAGGTCTGGATTATTATTATTATTATTATTATTTATTTTTTTGCATCTATAGGATGTTTGGAAGGAGCAGAGTTGACTGTTTGGGGGGAGAGGGGACATGGGCTCTGGGCTGCTTTGTCTATCCGTCTCTCCTGCCTGCTGCCTCCAAATCACACTGGTGCCAGTGCCTATGCCTGCAGCCACACCGGCTGGCTGCCCACCCGCAGGCGAGGCCTTCACGTTGGGGCCGTCTCAGCCTGGGGGAGGGGCCTGCCTTCACTTCCCTGGGGGAGGGACATGGCAGGCAAGAGGTGTGTCAGCAAATGGGGGGCAGGACCTTGGTGTCCTCCAGCTCCGTTTCCTCTGGTGGGGAAGTGAGGACCAGAGCGGGGAAAGGATGTGCCCAGGGCCACACAGCAAGTCTGCTCAGAGCTGGGACTGGAATCCCAATGACCCCCAAGCCACAGCTCTTGCGCCCCCCGCAGTCCACTGCTGATAAGCAGTTGACAGGCACCAATGAGGAGAATGACAGGGCGGGTGGGGGAGGGGACTGGCAAGGCTCAGAATAAGAGTCCAGCCAGTGACTAATCCTGTCAATGGTACCATTGGATTCTCCCATCAGCCCTGCCACACAGGCCGGGCAGGAATATGTCACCCCTATACCTGATGGGGAAACCAAGGCTGAAGGAGGGACCAGACTTGACCTTGAGGTTGGCAGCATCCCTGGTGAAGGCCACACCTCTGGCTTGGGGATGGCCGTGGGAGCTGGCGGCTCACGGGGAGGCAGGCATCTTTGCGGCTGGGATGCTGGGATCAGTGGGCCTTACTGGGAAACCCTCTGGGCCCGGGGCAAGCCAGTGCCCACCCCTGGGCCTCAGCAGCAGGATCTCTACCAAGAACGGAGGCTACTGATCCACCAGCTTGGAGACCAGGAGGCCTGGGCAGCCTCTGTACTGGCCTGTGGCCCCAGCCTGCCCGCCTCACCTGTCCCCAGGGCATCAGCCATTGAGAGAAGAGCCCACAATCGGGGAAAGCTCAGAAAGATCTGGATCAAATATCCCCATCAGTCCTGCTCCACGCCCCCCTCCCCTGGACTCCTGGGAGGTTTGGGGGAACCAGTGCCTCCTCCAAAGCCTTGGGGATGTGGCTCTTCCTCCCCTAAAATCCTCTGGAGGGGACGGCATCTCATGCTGGCAACACGTGGCCACACAGAGGCCAGCAGCACAGACAGGCAGCGACATATTTCCGAGTCGGATACTGAGAACACAGCCTCTATTTTTTTTTTTTTTTTTTTTTTGTCCAAAACATGTAGATTGTGTTTTGCTGTGATTTGTCTTCTTTTCTGTGTTTTTTTTTCAACATACTTACTGCATATAAAGTCATGCAAAGAAAATAGTGCAGACAGTAGGTCCTCGTGGATGTGCCAAGGCCTTCCACATCAGCGTCCGCCCCAGGGAAGAGGGCGAGAGGAAGGAAAAGAAAAGAGGAGGGAGCGATGAGGGCGGCGGCAGGACGAGGCGTGGAGAGGAGACGTCCCGGCGGATAGCGAGGGGGTGGGTGAGGAAGACATGCTCTCGGCCCTCCGCCAGAGCCGGGGAGGCCGCCGGGCTGGTACACAGATGAGCTGGGATGAACGCTCGGGAAGTGTGGTTGCGAGGACTCCCGTGTGGGAGGCAGGCAGAGAAAAGTCCAGGTACTTCCATCCTGAGAACCTCCCCCAGGCTCTCTGCCCCCACGTCCTGTTTCTTATCGGCACTCACTCCTGACGCAGTCCTGAGAAGAACCTGGGGACCAGAATTCCGGGGAGGTGCCTCTCACTGAGCCTGGGGAACTAATGGCGACCACACCCATTTCGGAGATGATATTAAAAAATAAATAAGTGAACGGACAGAAAAAGAGCTTATCCCTCTGCCCTCTTCCCTCCGCCCTTCCCAACCCAGCCCAACCCTCCTTTACAATCACTGAGAGATCTAGTTATGACATAAATATCAATGAACGTGGAACCCATGTACGAAACACACAGGATTTGGCTATAAAAAGGCATGCGGTCCAAGGAGAAGTGATAACCTCGGGGTTGCTTTCTTTTGCCCCCAAAAAGCATTCAGGTTTTCTCCCCTCGGCTGTGATGAAGCTGGAATTCCCCGGGCCCGATGGAGGGGCGGGGGGTGGGGGGTGGAATGGGTGGTTAGCGATGGAGGTAAACGTCAGAGAAGGAAGGAGGAGGAGAGTGGGGGCACCCTGAGAGGATCGCGCTCCCCACACTGAGGGAGAAGTGTCAGGCTGGGCCTGGAGACCAGGATGAGATGGGAGAAGAGGTAGGGAAGCCGTCTGAGGCAGGAGGCTCCTAGCATCTGCTTCTCTCTCTCTCTCTCTCTCTCTCTCTCTCTCTCTCTCTCTCTCTCTCTCTCTCTCTCCCAGGGGTTGCAGGTTCATCTGCCTTCCCCAGAGGAATCCTGGAAGAGGAGAGAGATCAGGGATCTCCTGACTCCACCTCTTCCTCTCTCCAGCCCCTGGGTGCACGCACAGCTGGGCATTCTGCCGCCAAGGCAAGTCAGGCCAATGGCAGCCAGGCAGGGGGTCCTCAGGGCCAGCACCCAGGGCATCCAGGGCACCCAGGCCTGAGGAAGCTCCGCCCTGGCTGGGGACAGAGAGTGAGACTGGCGGGCGGCAGGGAGATGTGGCCATTTGCTCTGAAGACGTGAAGGCTTGGTGGGTAGGTGCTCTTGATGCAGGTATGACAGTGGCGGTGATGGCGGTGGTGGGAGGATGTGAGTGGGGGAATTCCAGCAGAATCCAAGGTGGGAGAACCAGCAGCGACATTCCACGGACAGACGGACACCAGTAGCTCTCTGCAGTACAGCGCCCCCGCCTGGTCCTTCAACTGTAAGACACAATAATGCGATGGGTCATGCAGGTGCATCCAAGGCCCCCCCCTCGCCCCCCCCCCCTGTTTTCTATGGCACCCACCCCGGCCTACTTCCTTAGATGGAGGTAGCTACCCCATAAGGGACCTGCCCGGCTCTTCCCTGGGACCTGCAGGCCTGGTCTCCTCCCATGGTCGACCCTCCCCCGTCCCATGGCCTCCCTTTAGAGGGTCCCAATGACAAGGCAGGAAGGAGGGGCTCTTACTGGGGCAGGACAGAGGGCGCCCCAGATCTATGGAAGTGGACGATCTGCCATTTGCCATCCCGGCGGTGCCAGACGCGGGTCTCCTCCGACTGGGCCGTGCGGGGGATGCCGCCGGCGTCCAGGTACTGAGTGATGCGGATGTAGGCGATGCAGGCCGACTCGTCGCCCATCAGATGGATGTGGGGGTTCAAAATGGTGGTGTGCACAGGCTTGCTGTTCCGGGACCACACTGCAGGCGGGGATGGGAGTGAGCAGAGCAGATGCAGCTGAGGGACTTCCTACCTCATGCCCTTCACTCCCCCAACTCCCAGCACATTCCCAGGGGAGCCCCTCTGCCTGCCTCATTTCCCGAGGAGCAGCCTCTGTGACAGGGCTCAGCCACCTGGGTGTCAAGGCAGAACTCCTAGGTGACTAGGTCACAGCCCAGCTTAGGGGTGATGGGTTTCAGACACTTCAAGTACAGGGAAATGGGATTTTAGAATCATAGTGTCTTCAGACACAGAAAAATAGAACTTAGATGATTATAGGATCAAATCAGTTGAGACCGGTCTTGAACCCAGATCCCTATAGAGGCCAGGCAAGTACATAAATGAGGGGCTGAGCAGGGTACAAAATGCTAAATGACAACGGACCATTTGCCTCTGGGTGAAGGAGACAATAGGGAGCGGTAGACACTGGTGACTAGCTGACCACATTCCATCCACAGGGGTGCCCTAGTGGTTGCTATCTGAATAACTGGGACCCCTAATGCCATACTTGCTGGCTTTTCAAGAGAATCAGGAAATCTGGGTTTTTATGGAAATGTCTCATTTTTAATTATTGGCATCTAATTCAAGTTTAAAACAACTTGCAGGCCACATAAAACACGTGTGCGGTCCAGATATGGCTTGTGGGCCCCTCATTGGGCACCAGTGTTCTCAACATATAGAATGAAGGAAATTTGGGGAGTATTAAAATTGTAGAACCTTAGTCTCTTGGAATTGTAAGGATGGTATTTGCGGTTCATAGGGTGATGTCACAGAGCTTTGCAGAGTTAGAGAGAAATGCATAGCTCTTATAATCATAGACCTGACAGACACGCCTTTTGAAAGATCTGAAACATCTTTCTCTATGGAAAATATTAGCCATTATTATTATTATTATTATTATTACCACTACTACTACTACTATTACTTATTTTGATTCTAGGAATTCTTAATTTTTCTGAGTAAGATAGAAAACAAAGCACAGGAAGATGATAATAAGCCAGACTGGGACTGGACAGGGTCACGGGAATAACCCTTATGCTTTTCCTTAGTATAGCCCAAAGGTAAGTCCAACCCCACAGAAAGCACATGTGAATCCTTGGAGATGCCAGTTCAAGAATCTGTAGTATTAAAAAGCCCCTGTCCCCTTCCCCACCCTCTCTGATTCTGATGCCCAGCCAGGTTTGCGAGTCACTGATTTTCTGAAAAAATCTAAAATGTCTTACCCCTCCCCCCCATGACTGTAGAAAGCCTCCAATAGTTTCCACCCCTAATATTATAATCACACTCTACCCAGGCTTTGGATAAAGGACTCAAAATCACGGAGTCTTAGGTATGTAGACTAATGTAGTTTTACAATTCTGGGCTTGTAGAGAGAATGTACAGCTTTTGTGTTGTAGGCTTGGGAGTGACCTCAGAGGTCAGAGGTCACCAGTGGCCCTTCTCCCAATGCAAGGAAGCCTCCGTAAACATCCTTGACAGCATCCAGAGCTGAAGGCAGTCAAGATGGCCTAGTTTAATGAGTCCATTTAGCAGATCTGGAAACTGAGGTCCAGAGAAGCAACCTGACTTGTTCTAAGCTGGGCCAGGTTTTGAAAGAATAGCAGTAGAACCTAAAAGCAGTCAGTGTCTCTGAGGGACCGAATTAGAGCAATCTTAGAACAATCCCAGAGGGACAGACAGAGCTTTGCATTGCTGAGGGCACTGAGCCTTGCTGTTGCTGACGAGGGTGGGGGTCCTGAGAGGCCTTTTTGAAGCAGCAACTACTCTGATGTGGTGTCTTTTGAAGAGACTGGAGACTTTCAACATCCGCTGTGGTGACGGCATGGGCGAGAGCCGCCGGGTCCCCCAGCAGGAATAGGCAGGAGGAGGGTAGGACTCAGCCAGAAGCTGGCAGATACTCTGGGTCTTGCTCTCAGGGGTCCTGTGACGTGACCAGATGGTCAAGCTTAGAGTTTAGGGGGCTGGGGCGATGACACAGGCCAAGGGCTAGCACAAGCTTCTCTCTGTGCTCCTTCCCCTTTGGCCATCCCCAATCCCTCAGCCTAGCCTCTGCTCTGTGAAGGCTGGAGTATACCATGGGGAACCAGCATCCCCAGGGGACAAACCAGTAGAGAGATGGCCTTGGTGAGTTCTAGGGTGATGGGGACCAGTGGGGGAGAGGGGGGAGTCCAGCCACCTCTCCTCATGTGAAAATTAAACTGGCATTGCCAGCCTTAAAGAATCAGAGTCTGACTGATCAAGGAAAAATGCAATATTCTTCTTCACAGTTTTTTGGGGTGCTCTTGAGCCCCTGTACCCTTTGAGACTCAGTCAGATTGGGTGCAGGTCACAATGTCCAGCTGATGGCAGCTGATGCACAGAGGAGAGGGGCAGCATGTGGAAAGGAAGGGAAGGGGAGGGAAGGAGAAAGGAGGGGAGGGGAGGGGAGGGGAGGGGAGGGGAGGGGAGGGGAGGGTGCTGCAGTGAGTCAGGACTGGTGTTTGCCCCTGACTTTCTGGGTTCCTTTGGACAAGTCACTTCCCCTCTCTGGGCCTCAGTTTCCCCCTCTGTGTGATGAAGAATTGGACTAGATCCTACGTCAGCCACTTAAATACCTCCTTCATTTTAACTTACAACTGCCACCTATACTTTATTAAAATATTTCCTTAAACCGATTCACTTTATTATTTGATATTTTAAAAGAACACTTTCTGGTGCAATCATCAGTGACAACCAGAATCACAGAACCCACTTTTAAGTCCAGTGGAAATGAAATGAAGTTATGTAATCCTAGCTCCGCACGCCTGCCTGCAAGAGATCTGAGCCAGAGACCACTCTCCCTGATGAAGAGGGAAATTAGAAAATGTTACGGGGTGTTCAAGACAGACGAGCACCCAAGGGGGCCTTTCCCCTTCATGGAGCCGGATGTACTGAAGGAGAATTTAGAAAGGGACCAGCTCTCTCACTGTGAGAGCCACTGTGGTTTGGAGGGATGCCCACCTGACCCGGAAATCATCTGGTGAAGCCTCAGTGGTACATGCCTTCCCTCGGGAAGACGGTGACCATGCCACCTCCCAAGGCCTTCCTCCGAGTCCCGAGCTGCGTGACCCTAACCTGCATGCGCTGTGGTTCACCCCTGTCTGACCCCTGGCCAAGGTGAGACACGGACGCAGGCAGAAAGCACCCAAGGTCAGGCCCAGCCTCAGCCCCAACAGCCCCTGGTTGCCAAGCTGCCGGATCTCTCCTGCAGAGGAGAGGCCCAGAGAGGACAGACGTGTGGACAGAGACCCAGACAGACAGGCAGGGCACAGCAGTGTGAGCTCGGGGCCTCTCCTCTTCCCCAGGCTGCCCTTGCATAACAACCCACAAGCCAGCTTGTGACCAGCTGGACAGCTGGGGTGGTCCCAGGTGTCAAGTTGATTATAAATTGGATGTGTGCCCTCGTGGGAAGGGTCACGGGCAAGGAGAGGGCTGGGAGGACTCATCACGCTTATCCCAGGTCCCCATCCTCAGCCATGGAAGGGGCAGCTGGCAGTCGGGCGGGCCAGGGTTAGGAGAGGGAACCAAGGCGGTACCAACCCCTGTCCACATGGGATCCTCCTCTTCGCTGGCTCCTGAGCCGCCCCGGGGGCCCTGCCCGTCACCCTGCTGTGCCATCCGGCAGGACACGGAACGAGAGCAGACAACAGGCACCCCAGACAGAAGGAATTGCTCACGGTTTTCAAAATAGAATCGATGGAAGTCCAGGCCCTCGACCAGGTTCCCCAGGGCCTCGGGTTCGAAGGCTGTCATCCCGGGGTCACACATCTTCCTGGGGGGAGGAAGTCAGAGGAAAGAGGGACTGGGGCAGCCTGGCAGAGCCACCCTCTCATCCAGGGGCCGGGACCCACAGAGTGGGAGCCTGTGAAACTGGAGTAACGGCACCCACCTCACGAGATCTATAAGGCCGATGGGTAGGGGAGGCGCTTTGCGAACTGTGTCGTGTGGGGCATCGCTGACTGACTGGTGCCATTTAGAACCGGGAGGCCCAGGTTCAGGCCATGGCTCTGCCATTTTACCAGCCAGGCGGCTTAGCCTCTCTAATCAAGAGCACCGTGAGTGCGTGCAGAGCTGGGCCCTGCACGGACCAGCCTAAAGGCTACTCTCCAAATTGCACCCCGTCCCTGCCCCGGCAGCAGATCCCCAGAGGTTGGGGAGTTCCTAATTCATCCTGGGTTCCTGGGAGCCTTTTCCCTCACATGAAAGTGACTTGCGCTCACCAAGAAGGTCTGCCCCTGGAGAGTGTGCATTTTGCTACTTTAAACAAAGATGGCCTGCTGTGAACGGCAGCCCTCACTATGACATGAGGAAAACAGCATTCCACGAAGCAATGCCTGGGAGGAGGGCGGCCAGGGCATGGCTGTGTGTTTTCAGGGCAATGCTCCCTTCCAGGTCTCAGTCTCCTGAGAGACCCTGATAGCCGGGCTGGGGGGAGAGGGAGAGTGGACTCCCCCACCCCCAGGTCTCTGTGACAGAACGTGGACTCCTGTGACAATGACAATGAAGCCAGGGACAGAAAGTATCCCAGGAAAGGCAGAGGTCCCGATCTGGGGAGGAATGGAAGACAACTGGAGGAGTTTTTTCCTAGCAAATGCAGGGCACTCTGTCCCTGTGCTGCCCTCACTACTCTGTTGCTGTGACTTCAGGCAACTGGCTTTCCACGCAGAACCTCAAATTCTCCAGGTGGATTAACTAGGGGCCTGGGGCTGTGCTCAGACCACATGGGAGTCTGATCTGTCAACATCGAGGAGACTGAGCACCCCTGGGAAAGTCCCTCTCCAGGAGGTCTCTGGGCATGCCTGCCCTTGAAGGAGACTATCTGCTTCAACCTTACTGTACATGTAGAGAGACCAAGGCTCCTGACATGGAGGGACTTATCCAGGGGTACACAGGGCCCCAGGGCCCCCCAGAGGGCATGGCAAGGGGTCAAAACCTAGAGTACACTACAGATGCCAGGGAAAGTGACATCACAGAGTGAGGGAGTCCCCAGAAATGGCACTGAGAGACTTGGGGTCCACAGGAGCCACCTCTCTTTCTCCTCGTTTCCGGTTCTGTCCTACCAGCGCCACTCTGGCTCTCCCATGGCTGACTGACCCCTTTCTAGAAAGGGCCGCTGCAAAACTGAGTTAACAGCGCATTTCCATGCTTTTCTGCAACACCCAGTGCACACACCCCTGTGCACACAATCGCAAACCTGCATGCATGAACAAGTGCATGCACACACGTGTACCTGTGGCCTCAGTCTAACACCTGCACCTTCCAAGGTCCTGTTCCTCCAGAGGTAACCAATAGATTTCTGAGGCTTTGCCACCCGTCGCTGTGGAAACCCTCCCACAGTGACTGCCAGGCCTTGGGAAACCAACTTCAGCTCCTGGGCACAGTGGAAACCAAAACAGGCTGCCCAAGGAGCAAACCTGGCCAGGTTGTTCTCCCCTCACCTGAACCCAGCAAGCAAGGGTTATTCTGCCTCAGTTAGCAGTTTCTGTCCACTGAAAGCATACGTGGGGTCTCCGGGCCCAGACCTTAACAACCCTAACCAAGAGATTGAGGCCTCAGCCTGGAATCCCAGCTGTCCCTGGAGCAGCTGGAGACAGGCTCAGAGCCTGCTTCTGGGTTTTAGACCAGGAAGGGTAGTCTGGGTGACCACCAGGGGGCGCTCCAGCCCAGCCTTTCCCCACAGCTGCCCCTCGGAGGGCTGGCCCAGGTGTGGAGAGAACATCTTATACCACCTGTTTCCTCTTATGTTATTTTTGCACACTGCCTCATTCCCTAGAGAATTTTAGGTTCCATTTTGAGGTTCTTTTGCTCACCCTTGCTCACTGGAGGTTCTCACTCTGTGGATTCCTGCCCACTCCCGCCCAGCTGAGGTCAGAGGTCTGAGAAGGTCCAGGGTGAAGACCCAGGCCCACAAGGCAAGACTAAGGAGGGACCTGCCTCCCCCTTCTCCTTCCCAGCTCATTTCCTGAGGAGGCCCGTGCTGCAGTGGAGATCACCCCTTCTTTCCTCAGGGAAGCAAGAGAGTCCTGGGGAACGGGAACGGGGAGCAGGAGGAGCAGGACTGAGGGATGGAGAAGCATATTGAACATAAAGCTTAATAAGAGCATAAAGTCCGAAGGCAAAACAGGAACTCGAGCTCATTCTGATTCACAGCACATGCAGAGTGAGTGACTGCGGGTCAGAGTCTCGGACCCCAAAGTTAGCCATCAGCCCCCCAAAACAACAATCCAGGCAGGACATGCAGGATGGGCTCAGCCGACTCACGTGTAGGACTCAAAATCTCCATTGCTTATGGCTTCAATCAGCTGCTCTGTCACTTTTATAATTTCCTGTTTCCGCACTGAAAGGCAGGAGGGGACACAGAAATAGTAGCAATCGTGACAGCAATGAAGCACCAACTGCCATTTCCTGAGTCCTTGTCATGGGCCAGACCCTGTCCTGGGGCCTGTGGGCCTCGTGTACATCGTCTCAGTTATCCTCGCAGTAGCCAGACAGGTAGGTATCATTACTACCATTTCACAGAAGAAGAAACTGAGGCCCAGAAAGGTGAGAACGGTATGAAAGTTCCCTCAGCTACAAGGGCAGAGCCAGTGTCTTAGCTGGCAGCCCTTGCCTCCTAAAAGCAGCCATGGAGGGCATTCCCTAGGCCTGTTTTGACTTCAAATACAATTTCCTATCAAAACAGTCAACTGTCAGGGTTGTCCCTAGCAGCCATGCCCAAACTGGAGCTGTTAACAAAGGTCTCAGGGTTTATTCAGCCCTTAGGTGTGGGGAGCTTTATGCTCTGTGTGGATGCCTGTAGGAATCAGGCTCTGAGCTTTCCAGAACTTTCTAGGCATAATGATTCCCAGTTGCTGAGACCTGGCCTCCCCTACCACCACCGAAACAATACAAACAGCTGCTGTCTTTCTGGCAGAGGGTTAGATGTCACTTTTCTTATATTTGTGATTTCTGAGCTCCAGTCTTCCCATCTGTAAAATGGGGACAACATCACCTCTCATTCATTCAGTGCCAAAAGTCTCGTGGAAAGAACCCAGGCTTCAGTACCAGACAGGCTTCATCTAATTTCCAACCGAGGCCCTGGCCAGTGTGGGTCAGTTGATTGGGCATTGTCCTGTGCCCGTTCAATTCCCTGTTGGGGCACATGCACGGGTTCTGGGCTCAATCCCCGGTCGGGTGTGTGAGGGAGGCCACCAATCGATGTTCTGCTCTCTCTCCTCCCTTCCTCTCTCTCCAAAAATTGATAAAGAAAAAAAAAAAAAAAAAAAAAAAAAAAAGCTTGGGAGCAATTATATGCAGAAGGACCTTTCATTTTAGGCTGTACTCTTTTAAAAAATATAAATAAATAAATTCCAACCAAGGCCCTTACAAGATGTGAGATTGTGGGCCACAAGGCAGGTCCCTGGTCTGTCTGATGAGATGGTAGTGCTCCCCTCCTTGGCATGAAGCTGGGATGAGGTGATGAGCATGAAGCACTCAAACCAAAGCCGGGCACACAGTCGGTACACGGTGTAGGTATCGTTTCCTGCATCCTCCCACATGGTTGCCACATCTGTGCCTCACAGACACCTGGGAGCCAGGCGGGGCCCGTTTCCCCCAGCCGACACCTGAGGACACGAAGCCTCAGTAATGCAGGACTTTGAGGCCAGGACTCTTGGTCCCAGAAGGACAGTTCTACCAAAAGCTTCACACAGTTTCCCAGGGGTATGCCCTCCTTCTCCCTCCTCTCCTCCCCTCCTCCCCCAGGTTCAAGCTCAGCTCCGAATCCGGTCGGTTCACTGGCCTATGGAGCAGCTGCACGTGAGGTAGATGGACACACAGCCATTTCTCAGTTTGGAATATGGGGAGAGAGAGAGAGAGAGAGAGAGAGACCATGCTGGTGGAGGCTGTCCCTGCCCTTTTCCTCATCACTGCCCAAGTCACCCCACCCCATATCCCACCAGGGGCTCACCTCAGACCCAGAGGACAGAGAGTCACAGAACAGCCAGGCTGGAAGAACCCCTGGAGACTGGGGCTCAGCCTTCTTGTCACATTCCTGGGGAAACCGAGGCCAGGGAGGGGTTGTGACTTGCCCAGGGACACGGAGCAGACAGGGTGCGGAATCCGGCTCCCAGCCCAGGACCTTTCCAGGAGGCCCCAACACCCCACCATGCTCCCTGACACTCGGAGCCTGTAAGCCGTCTACTCCCCAACTCGAATACAAGTTCGATGGAGGCTGGGCTGTGGCTGCCCTTGGCTGCTAGATTCCCAGGCGCCTAGAACAGGCCTGCCCCCAGGGGAACTCCTTATTAAATTAATGAGCACATCAGGCCTTGTGCTGTGTGCTCAACCTGCGGGATCTTGAAAGCTCACAGCACCACTTCACGTGGCTATCACCTCCACATCACAGGTGAGCAATCTGGAGGTGAGAGACGTTAAACTGTCTGCACCGTGGACCAACTGCCCAGCATTTGCAGCTCCAAAGCCCATCACACTCTCCCCACCACACATGCCCCTCAGGGCAGGGGCCCCTGCCCAGCACAGCTCTAGACACATGGTGGGTGCTCATCTTCAATGTCTGTTATCACCATGAACCACAAATTATTTTTGAATAATCACCAGGGCTGGGGATGAGTCCATCTGAGGCCGTGAGCTCTGCCAGGTCACTCGGGGGCCTTGCCTGGGGTTGGGACAGCGGCAGCAAGAAGGAATGAGTGAGTGGATGGCACCAAACCAGGGCTGCTGTGTTGCCCTGTTTCCTGGAATTGCCCCAGTCGCCTAGTGGCCTGTCCCAGGGAGCCCAAGAGCCTGACCTCCTGGTCAACTCTGCCCTCCGGCATAGATGCTGGAAACTGAGGATGGAAAAAAAGCCACCGCTGCCAGGAGACACGTCACCCCAGCCTCTCCCATGCGGAACCAAGGTGGTGACCCAGAGAGGGTCCATGTGCCACCACCCTGGCCTCCTCCATCTGGATTTTAAGAATGCTTCCAGCTTAACATCCCATGAGCCTGTGCGTAATGCCCTGCCCCCTGTGCACTGCCTCTCATGCCATCTCAGATTGGCTAGCAAAGTGGTCAATAGCTATGATGTCCATAGCCAGACTCCCTGTGTTTGGATCCTGGCCCTGGGTCCTTGGGCAAGGGACTTCCCCGTGCCTCCGTTTCCCCATCTGTGTAATGGAGCTACCAATAGCACTTACCTCGTAGGGTTGTTCTAAGGATTATGTGAGTTAAGAATATAGCAAAAGAAATAGCTGATACATGCGTGGTCCTCACTAGGAACCAACTACTGTTCCCAGCCCTTTATATCAACTCCTTTTATGTCAATACTGATGCAATATGTAAAGCATTTAGAGCAGAACCTGGCACTCCCTACATGAGAGCTGTGGTTAATATCTTTTTAAAAAAAATAAATATATTTTTATTGATTTCAGAGAGGAAGGGAGGAGAGAGATTGGAACATCAATGATGAGAGAGAATCATTGATTGTCTGCCTCTTCCACGCCCCCGCACTGGAGATGGAGCCACAACCCAGGAATGTGCCCTGACTGGGAATCGAACTGTGACCTCCCAGATCATGAGTCGATGCTCAACTACGGAGCCGCTGCAGCGACTTATTACCGTGTGCAAGTCTCCGAATTGGAAGTTCCTCCTGAGGATGGCCTCTGACCTCAGGCTGCCTCCCAGCGGCCTCATGTGTGAGGCTTTCGTTCGGGTTTCATTTGGGGGCTTGCAGCCCACTGGGCAGCCCGCTGCATTATGGGACAGCTCTCACCATTGGTGCCAGCTTCCTTCTTCTTCCAAGTTGAAATCTGTCGCCCTGAAGCCCCTCGCTATAGTTCAGGTTCCCTTCTGCCTTCTGCGGCTCTGCACTGACTTGTCTGCTCCCTGGATGTATGCCTTTGCCCTGCCAGTCTTCTCTCCTCAGGGCTGAAGGCCTCCAGGATGTGGTTTGAGGATCTGACTCAAGCGGGCCATCTACTCTTCAGAGGCCTCACTGAGTGTAAGCATATAATCCCAGGTGTGGCTTGGATTCTACACAATATCAGGTCCGGAGTAGCATTCTCTATCCCCTCCCCACTTCGGACGCTCTACCTCTATTAATGTAGCCTAAGATAGTACCTAACTTGGTTTTACCTCCAGCCACTCAGGACACCAATTATGCCAACAGTCAATGCCTAATGGGAAGGAATTTCCCGAGCTTCATTCTCTGGGACAATAAATAAATAAATAAATAAATAAATAAATAAATAAATAAATTTAAAAATCTGGGAGTCTAGTGTTCCTTAAATCTGGATAAATTCACTCTGGTTCTGGGCCCCTCTCGTGCCCTCAGCAATCCCATTGCTGTGTGAGGGGTTTACTCAGCAGCTGCTCAGGAGCAAGTTGTGCACTTCCACCTGCCAGGCATTCACCCAGACAGCCCAGGAGTGCTGCCCTACATATGGAAAAGCTGAGGACCAGAGAGGTTAAGGTACTCTCTTAAGATCACACAGCATGCCAAGGCTGAGATGGGATCGGCATTCCTGGCTGATATTTCCCAGAATGTCTCTGCTGAGATTCTGAGGCAGCTCTTGGGGCCGTAGAGGAAATGAATATTTCATGGAGCTGACCGGGAGGGGGTAAGGAAGTGGGGAGAAGGCCTGGCAGAGCCCAGTGAGATTTGGAGGGGGAGAGGCCTGCGCATGAGGCCCGAGGTGCTCTGAAATATTAATGTCCCTTCCTTTGCTCGTGGGAAAATGTTCCCTGGAGGATGACATTTCTAATTAATTTTAATGGTAGGTCAGAATCCACCCCACCAGCTGCTATTCTCACTTAGGAAGAAGACTTAACAGATCAACACCGGAAAATGGTTCTCTGGAAAGTTTCTCTGAGGCCTGAGGAAGCTGTGGGAGGCACAGGGCTCCTCTTTCCTGCCAAGCACAGGAGGAGCTCCTGGCTGAGCCAGCGTCTCTCCCATCAGACATGTGGGGGAATGAGGCAGGGAGTGGCTCCCAGTTCTGCCATTGATAACCCGATGTGCCCTTCCTCCTCCTTGAGCTCACATTTCCTCCTGTAAAGGGGCCTCGCCCTGGCTGGTGTTGCTCCGTTGGTTGTGCACTGGAAGGTCACAGGTTTGATTCCTGGTCAGGGCACATACCTAAGTTGCAGGTTCAATCCTCTGTCAGGGAGGCAACCAATCAACATCTCTCTCTCACATTGATGTTTCTTTCTCTCCCCCTTCTTCCCTCTCTAAAATCAATAACATTTTTTAAAAAGAAGGGGAAATGAAAAAGGGACTAGCTGAATTAAATAATATTCAAGGCTTCACAAATGGTCCCCATGGTGTTCTAATGCAGAGAATGATGACTGTAAATGTGGGGCTCGGGGATGCAACCCAGAGCTATTCCTCCAGGTGGAAAATGTCTGTGGCAGCTCATATTTTACATTTATAGCGCACACAAGTTTTGCATTCTCTTCCAAATATTTCTCTGTCTGTTTAATATATAAATATTTGTCTTAAAATAATCTTTCAGTAAAATGGATGTTCCAAAAATGGCATGTGGCTTCCTGTCAACCACAAGCTCTAGTTCAAAAAATTTTTTAAGATTTATGAAACAATTTCCATGTGCCAAACACTGTGTAAGCACTTTATATGCAGCCTCTCATCTCATCTTTACAGCCATCTTCGGAGGTTAGAACTATTATCATCAACTCTTTATTGTTAAGGAAACTGAGGCTCAGAGAGGTTGAGTAAGTTGTCCAAGGTCAACCAGCAAATGGACCCAGTGAAGAAGCACAGAGCTAGCTTGCCTCCATGGTCCCTAACTGCTGTGAGACCAGAATCATGAGACCACAGCGAGTCTCCCCAAAATCCTAATCTTACCATCAGGACAGTGAGCCTCAAATATGGGGCGGGTCACAGAAACACCATGTCTCAGGCCAACGCAAAACCATAGAATCGGAATCCACAGGGGAAGGGCCAGGGGTGGGTGGAGAATTATACTTGAGGGACTTAGAATGCTGATTTGACCCTAACAAGGGATTCTTCTTCAAGGCCATGTATTTTTAAAGGTTGGCACTAGTGCCCTGGTGGAAAGTGGATTTGCTCTAGTGCCAGGCTATGGCATTAGTGAGTCCCCCGACCTGTGCCCCCACAAGGGGGACTGATCAGAGAGAGCAATACACAGGTGGGGCTGATCTCCCAGGGTACCCTGGCAGAGGCAAGAGGTAGTCATGGCATTTACTGTATCAAAGCTGTCTTAAAACCTGGATTGCAATTGTGCAAAAATACTTATTGCACAATAAAATGGTCTTTCCTCCACTATTATGTTCTATTAGAGGAAAATTATCTAAACCACTGAAAAATGTCTAAACTGGCCCAGCTGCGATCTCTTCAGGTCAACGGTGTCTTCCTAGATTTCAGAGGCTCCCGGGCGTCTCTGACACGTGCCCAGGTGTGGGAACCCCGAGCTCTCTGGTGTCCCTGTCCCAGGGGGACGAGGAGGGCTGGGTGCAGACAGAGCACAGAATGTCACCAACGCATCCAACAATTTGGTGTCCTCTGGCCAGAAGATGCATGCTTTTCACACACTAAGGCGCCCAGCATGGTGTTTATGAGTCAGGCCCTGGAGCCACGCTGCCTGGATTCAAACCCTGACTCCACCTTTGCGAGCTATAGGGCCTTGGGACACTTGACTCGACTCCTCTGTTTCCGGGGCTGTGGGATACATGGGGTTAATGACAGCCTCCCCAGAGGGTTGTGATGAAGTTCAGGTCAACATAAAGCACTTCCAGGTTAGCCCACAACACAGCCATTATTTCTAGTCCTCATTACCTTCTCTTACTATCCGATCTCAATTACGTGCAGCTTGCTCCCTCTGAGGTTGAGGACTGCTAGTCACTCCTGCATCCCAGGTTGCTCTTAGGCAGAGCTTCCCATGATTCCCATACAATTGAACATCCTGCATTTTGCTTTCCCTTTCCTCACAGTTATTACTTCATGTTTTCAAAATCAGCACACTTAAAAAAAAATTCAAACCTGCTCATTTCAAAAGGAAAATGCATACCGCTGCGATACATTTATGACAGGAATGTGCTACGTTAATCTTTCCTGACACATAGGAAAGCTCACGCATAACCTCTACAATAAAGGCCCAGCTGTGTACCACGAGTGGCCTGAGTATCCCACTCCAGGCACAGAGTACTCAGTCTGGAAGGAACCAGAGTGAGGTTCTGTGCAGAGCAGCAGGACACGGGGTTGGCACTGGGGCCCTTTCAAACCAGGGGCTGTCAGTGTAGGGGCCTGAGGAGGCTTTGGGGCCCAGGCGTCAGAGGCAAGGCCCCCCTACCTTTGGTGTCTTCGTCCTCAATGGTGGTGTTGGTGCTCTCTGAAGATTCCTGCCAGAGAGAACAGGGAGGCATTGAGGCCTGCCTGGCCAGCAGGAGGGCGTGCGGCCAGTGGGGGGCTGCCCCGGCTGCCTAATGCTGCGGCCAGTTTCTGTAAGCCTCATTGGCTCTGCCATCCGGAAGCTCCACTGAAAACCTGTCAGACTTCTGAGCCTATGGAGGGGAAGGGCCCAGCTAAGCAGGTGGCTGGTGGTGGGGGCGTGGATGGAGGGATGGATGCAAGGAGAACCCTGGCCTTTCTGGACAGGCTGGGAGGAGTCCCTGGGCCGTTTTGCTTGAGGGGTCATAGAGGGAGTATAGAGGGGCAGAGAGGCACATAGTGGCCATAGAATGGGGAAGGAATACACACATTGGCAGGAGAGGAAGAGAGAGAGAGAGGGAGAGGGAGGCCCAGTGTGAGAGAGCTGGGCTTTTCAGGGAGAGAAAAACCACACACCTGAGGGAGACAGCATTTGGAATCAGAAGAAGAGGGACATGGGCCACTGTGTCACCACTGGAGGCAGGGCTGGTGGCTCCTCTGCCACCGGCAGGCCCTGTATAGCCTTGCTCAAGAAGGGCCTCTCTGGCACCCACTGCATTGGCCAAACCAAGCCCCTCCACCCTGCGTCACAACTGGCACAAACCAAGCCCTGAGATGAGTTCCAGAGCAGAGGGCGGGGAGAAGCGAGAAGCCAAGGGCTGGATGTGAGATGGGGTTCAAATAAAGCTTCCTACCCAACAGAGTTCTCAAGTCTACTGTCGGACTGCTGGTCTGGGCCATGGAGTTGGAGGTGTCAACAGAAACACGCCAACAACACGCACACGCAACACACATATTGTCACACGAGGCACACGTACCAAGCACGCCCTGAGCACCCTCTCCCCGCCCCGGGTTCCCTGTGCAGCCTGCAGGAGGGAGGCAGGAGCGAGGGGTCGAGGCCCAGCATTTACCGGCGTTTGGGAGACGGCAGACACTCACCATTAACTGAACGCTGGAACTGGACTTTCTTTTCTGGAAAAACAAGGAGAAGAGATGGGACAGGAAAAGACACAGCATGAAAACGGCAGAGAGCAGAGGAATGGACGACAGGGGAGGTTCGGAAGGAGGATGGGCCTTAGGGCATGGGGGCAAGGAGTCAGGGCCACGAGCAGCAGCTCACCTGGTGAGACCAGTCCTCTCTCGGCCTAAAGTTCTGGGGTCTCATGCACAGCTGCTGGGTCTCCCAGTCTAATCACCAAGCTCCAGGCCAACCCTCCCCTGGACCAGGGCTCCCTCTACACCAAGCTCCTCTGGGGGAAGTCAATCCTGGGTCTCGAATGCCATTTGCCTAAGGCCTCCAGAATCCAAAGCTCTTGAAGGACAAAGGGGTGCTCGGGTCCGAGGGGTGAGGCCCAGTCTCTCCTAGACTCCCATGCATCCTAGACTCATATAACCAGGCCCCTTCAAGGACTATGGGAACTCAGTCTAGGGTGGGGCCTTGGGATTTCCGTTTAAAACAGTATCTTCAGAAGATCCCAGAGCAGGGCCGAGTGCGGGAACCAGTCCTCTAAATGGCCTTTGGACTTCCGCTTATGTTCACAGCTCCCAGTGCCTGGCCTAGCCAGCTCCTTTATGCTGAGAGAGAACCCAAGGCACAGCCAGACATTTGAGCCGTCGGGCCCTGCCATTCAGCCCACGCTAGCTTTGGAGGGAGTTTGTAGCTTTCCCTGTATTACTGGCTGCGGAAGCAAGGGAAGGAAAGAGAACGGACAAAGGTAGATTATCTTCTTCTTCTCTCAGCTCTAAGCCAAGAGTCTTAAAGACTCATGCAGAGGGTTGCAGCTCAATACTGACACTTGAATTGCACAGAGAAGAAGCTGGGGCCCAAAGACGGGCAGTGATCTGCCCGAGGTCTCAGCTGCCGCCAGCAGAGCAGAGGCCAGAACCCCTGAGTGCTGCTCTCTCCTCTGTCCGAGCCTCAGGCACCCACAGCCTGGCTGCTCTTCAAAGGTTTATCCTTCCCAAACCATTCACACCTGAGACTGCTCTCCTTGCTGCACTGCAGCGGGTGGGGTGGGGGTGGGGAGCAGAGGAAAGATTGGAGATGCCCTTAGGGTTGGTCCACCAGGGAGAAGCACAATATTCTGAGGCTCTTCAGGTCTAATTCTGGGCTGAGATCCTGTGCTCTCTCTCCAGGGCCTCTGCAGACACGGCAGGGGTGGCTCGCCAGACACAGCCCCTGCACCTGCTCCAGCTGGGACGGACAGTGTGACTTCCAAAGCCAGCAGCCTTCAGACAGCCCTTCCTCTCCTCTCCTCTCCTCTCCTCTCCTCTCCTCTCCTCTCCTCTCCTCTCCTCTCCTCTCCTCTCCTCTCCTCTCCTCTCCTCTTCTCTCCTCTCCTCCTAGAGTCAGCCTCACTCCCGGATGGAGCCAAGCCAGGCACAGTGTTTTGGGAAGGGGACAGGCCCTCTCAGCTTGGCTGACAGCAGAAACCTGAGGACTGGCCTGGGGGGCCAGGAGGTTCCAGGTGGGACACGAGGAGGGAACACAGAGCAGAGACCGCATCAGATTCTGACGTACACTGACAGGATGGGACATGGGAGAGAGAAGTCACAACGGCACGGATGGGACACCAACAGGGGCAGTGAGTGGGATTGAGGGTGGGAGCAGGCGGCCCCTCCTCATAGCAGTGGAGGCCTTGGGGTGATTGGGGGGAGAGGGGGCATTGCTTCTTGATAATGGGAAGACTCAATTTCCCTGAGTCACAAATGACGATACTAACAATAGTCCCACACTGACCAGCATGCCAGCATTTAATTTACAAGAATCTTTCACCAAAAGTAGAGTCACATCTCTTAGAACCACCTGGAAAAAAGCATGGTTCTAAGGTTAGCAAGGATGATGGGAAGGAGAAGTATGTTCGAAATTAGCCTCAAGAGCCACTGAAAGCCCTTACAGTACAGTGCTGCCCCGTATCTCTAACTCCAACTGGCCAGCGGTCCTCCCGGGGCAGGACCAGTGCCTGCCTCCTCAGCGAAGCCCGGATGGATCGGTGGTTTGTGTCCAGAACAGAGCTGTAGGAAGAATCTGTGTTTCCTCACTTTGGCTGAATATGTGTCAGTTGAAGATGCACAGGATGACTCCACCAGGCTCGCCAGCCACTGCCATTCCTCCTTTGCACAGATGACAGAAGCGATGACCCTGGTCTCCAAGGGAGGGACAGCGGGGCCCAGATTCAAACCCTTCGCTTCTTGACGAGAGCCAGTTTCACTTACAGTGAAAACATGACGGACCCCGGAGTGACATGTGGCAGTCAGGGGACCCTGAGTCCTACGCTAGGCCCTGAGTCCTGGGCGAGGCCCTGGGTGATGGATCTTCCAGCCTGACTTCCCCCTCGGCCCACCCCCTGGATGGGAAGGAGGCTGCACTACAGAGAGACAGCCGGGCCAGGAATAGCCTTTGAGCTTCTGTTCACCCACCCAGGCCGCCCTGAGAAGTCTCTGTTGTAGCTGCCAGAAGAAGGGGCACTTTCCTCAGTGCATCTGCTGTGACTAGTGAGCGAGAGCCCCCCGCTATGCCGAGGCCTTGCCCTCGGACAGGCTCCGCCTCCTGGCCTTGCCGGAGAAGAGCCAGACCAGAGCTTTGTCCCAAGACCCTGCCTGAGGGAGGCCTTGACCTCACAGCACCGGCTCCTGGTTAGGCTTTGCCAGGGCCACACCACAAGCCAAGCAGACCGGGATAGCCCTCCCCCTGCCGCCGCCTCCTCCACTGACCTGGGCTACAGCACACCAGCCCCTGTGGCCTCTGCCCCACATTTCCCAAATAAAATTTTCCCCGGGGAACCCCGTGCCCCAGCGTCTACCAATCAGGGCCAAAGAGAGTTCCAGGGGTTCCAAACCGGCCACCCCACATCGTACATCCCCCCAATTACCCTTTCAAATGGTGAGCCAAACAGCAGGCGAGCCAAAACTCAATCCTGAGCCCCACTGCAGGACTCGGGATGTGGGCATGTAGAAACTGTGTCAGCTTTAGCTCTGTGGATTACCAAATACTCTCTTGAGCAAACTGTGTTTTCAAGACAAATCTTAAGCCAGAAGTCTAATGCAAAAAAAACAGATATAAAAAGATAAACACACCGGCTGGCACCTCATGAACATGTGTCTCACACCCTGCACCGTGCTAAGTCCTCGACACACGTGATCTTGGCTCATCCTCACAAACCACCCTGCGAGGTAGATGCCCCTTGATCCTCTTTGCTTGAACGAGGAAACACGGGCTCCAGGGATTCAAATAACCAGCCAGGGTCCGAGGCTGCTAAGCCCACCCAGGCTCTCTTCACCACGGTGCTGGCTGTGACATGGAGCCGTTCTGGCTGACGTGGGCATGGGAAGCCCAGAACCTTCTCTGCTTGCCGCTTCTAATCACACCCCCATTTCCACCCCCCATCTGCTGCTGGAGGTGCTTCTCCGGGACCTTTGGGCTCCAAGGACTTCAGTTTGAAAACCACAGACTTCAGCGGCTAACCAAACACTTAGCTATTCCTCCAGTACCCAAGACGAGAGGGAGAGTGATTAGACAGGATTTTGTCAGGTTTGTTTGTTGGTATGTTTGTAGAGCTGAAATCCTAGAAATCTTGGAGTCCACACCCTTCCACCTGCCCATTGTACCTATGGGAAAACTCAAGCCTGCAGAGGGCTAAGAGCAGAGGGGAGGCCCAAACCCTGGCCGCCGAGAGCCAGCCCAGATCCCTCCCATGTAACCGTGACAGACCAAAGCCCGCGACCCGAGACTGTAAATGCTGCTACAAGTGAAGCCACGGAGCCACCAGCCCACCTGGTGGCTGTGTTTGGACAATGTCCCACACCTTCCAGTGTCCTGGGCACAGCCCAGCCCTGGGACCCTGGCCAGGCAGGGCTCTGAGCCCAGAGAAAGGCAGGGTCTCAAGAAAGGAGAACCCATAAGGCGAGCCAGTGGCAGGGAGAAGGGGGTTGCAGAGAGTGGGACCAGGCCCCAGAGAGCAGAGGGAGAAGAGAGAAGAGGGGAGCGGGGTCAGGGGTGTGTGTGTGAAAGTAGCTCGGGCTTCAGGACTGGGAGGGAGGATACAGGGCAGGCCTAGGGGATGCTTAGCATTCAACCAGCAGGTCTTCAGGGGAAGAGAGCACCTCTGGACCCCAAAGTGGAGAGGAATTGCTGTCCATCCTTTTGGGTTGGGGTGTATTGGGTCAGGGATCCATTCCTGCCAGCCCATACTCGGAAAAAGGGAAGTTTTCTTATGGTCATCTCTATCCCTTCCTTGTACCCCCTGCTCACAAGACCTCCAGCCCCAGAGAACCCCAGAAACCTCCTTCTGACCGCCCGGTTCCTTGTGCCCACTCCTACCCCAGGCCATCTGCGTCTCCCACCAGCTTTCAACCCTCCCCCTCTCCCGCTCCCTCCCCGGCTTCCTCCCCTGATCCTGGTGAGAGGTAGGCACCGAAGCCCAGGTCTCTGGGTCTGAGATGGCCCGGCTGCCAGAGAGACCACATCTGCCCAGAAATGCCACCAGCAGGGCCTGGGTCCTCGCCAGGCCAGAAAGCCAGGCCTTCTTGAAGGAAACGCTGCCAGGGCAGGCCCTGGTGGCTCCCAGGGGGCTTACCTTTACACCATCATTCTTCTTGTTCCCTCCACTCTTCCCTCCTATGGAGGAGAGAACGTAGAGGGTTACCAACACCAGGCAGGGCACCAGGGCCCAGAGTGCGAGGAAGAGCAGCATCCACGGGCAGCCGGAGGGCAGGGAGCCGGCTCAGCGATCTGGGGAGACCTCCTCCTGCTTCTCCTCCCTCCTCCGGAGCCTGGGACTGCCAGTGGCCCACCAGGTGGGCCCGGGCTCCCACAGTTCTCAGTGATCGCAAGTGTGACCCCCCAGCCCCATAGGTTGAGGTTGGGGAAGGTATCCAGTGCGTCCCAGGACTGTGAGTAGCTGTGTGAGCCCGGGGATTCCCTCTGGATCCCGGTCACCACCCGTGCTGGTGTGGCCAACCCGGAGGCCCGGCTGCCCGGCCGGGGCAGGAAGCTCCCTCCCCAGCCCGGCCTGCTCTAATTTTAGCCCCATGCTGCTGCAGAGGTCATGTGTCAGCCCTGCCTACTCACGCTGGACAGCTGCGAGCCGTGTTTTGCCAGTGACAAGAAGCAGATGCCCCCTTGTGGGGCCCAACCCTGTCAGAGCACCCATCTTGGTGGAGTTCCCCCCTCTCCCCCTCAAAGGCCAGAGCTCCAGGCTGGGGTTGGTGCTGCCCCCGGTAGCCAGGAAAAGCAGAGCAACAGATCTCAGGGAGGTTCCACTTTTGTCATTCCCCTTTCTCTCCCTTCACCTCCTGGCCAGAGCCTGTGGGAAGGGAGGGCATCAGACAGGAAGTGGCATGAGTGCTCAGCCTTGCCCAGCCTGACATCCAGCTGCTCAGACCTCAAGCAAATGCTTTGCGTTAAATGAGATGGGGGGAGGGGGGTGTCTCTAAAGTGCTTACTCAGCACAGCGCTTGGCCTCTGTGCAGTAGATGCTCAATAAATGGCGCCATTTGCACTTCTCCTGGCGGCCTGCAGAGTGCGCTGGCTACAAGAGGCCCCAGAGGCTTTGAAGGAGGGGGCTCCTGGTCTGTCCAGCTTCCCAATCACTCTCACATTTCCAATGAGCCCTACCTGGCTCCCGCCCAAAGTTTCCCTCTTGTAAGTGGGTACGTCTGGATCCGAAGCCAAAAGGAATGGCTGCCCCTCCCCCACAGGCCTTGTGGGCTGAACCAGGCTGTTCAGAGGCCAGGAGTGCTTGCCCCTCCAGCCTCCAGGGGGCTCTCTCAGCTCCAGCCACTATCGCAAGACTGTGTGTACGTGTGTGTGTGTGGGGGGGGGGGGGGGGAGGCTGTGAGGCCATATATTCTATTTTCAAGAGAAAACAGAGATCTGGGCTGAAAACACTTTCCAAAAAATTTTGAAACACCACTGTCCCACTCCCTGCCCTCCGCCCGCCCTGCAAGCACTTCTAGAGATTGGAAGTAACCCCTGGGCACCATCTTTTAAGTTCTGGATTAGAGTTCTCTAGGGGCACTTCAGTTGTTAAAAAAAGACTCTGTCTGGGTGGCTCATGTTTCAGTGTGAGGAGCTCAGGATCCTTGTCTGGGGAGAGAATGGGAAGGCAGTTCTGGCAGTGGCGAAAGCTCAGATCTGAAGTCCCAGGGTTTTCCCACGCTGGGTCTCATTCTCCCAGCTCGCTAAATGGGCAGGGGGTCCCTCTCACGAGGTCTGGGCTGCAGCCGCCCAGAGTTGGCCCCTTGCTGCGGGGCCAGCCACGTGACCACAGCCACCTCCTCAGGCTGGCTGAAGCCCCAGGCAGAGGGCCCCTCAGGTGAGCTTTGCCATATCTGCTCAGCTGCCCACTCAGCCTCCGGCTTCCCAGAGAGAAGCCTTTGGCAGCGCTGGTCCTGGAACTCTCCCAGTGCCAGGGGGAGCCTCTTGTTAAACCCTGACACTAATCCCTTCCCCTTCTCTCTTCGGGGACCACGTGCCACAGGCCATTGGGCATTCCCTGCCCTAACCAACCTGGCTCTGGCCAAGGCAGAAGGCTCCTGCCCTGACTAAGGGCGCTGGCACTGAGGTTGGTCAAACCTGCGCTGATCACAGGCTCTGCCTCCCCCTAGCGATGCCACCTGGGCCTACCACGTCTTCTCCTCCACCCCCATCCCCCACCCCCAGCTTCAGCTTCCTCCTTCAGAAAGCAGGGATGGCGATGGCCCCCACTGGGCTCTGTAATCACGGGGAACAGGAATACTGCTCAGTCCCACCTGGACCTGGACCCACATTTGAGAGGCCTTCCCTCTGGCTAGCCCAGTCTGAGAACCCCAGCACTCCTGTGAGGCAGGAAACACAGACTGAACCCCTGACCCTTCCCTTCCTCATGGGCCCGTAGCTTGCCAACCTCTGACCCTTCTCCACTTCTGGGTGCAGATTTGCATCACGTGAGCAAAGCCCCCAGTCACGGGGGCCTCTGCGCTCCCGCTCTTCCAGGCCCCCTGGCCGGAGGGTACCAGGTATCCGATGTGGCAATGTCCCCACCTCCTGCAGGATGTGTTTGTTGGGGCTTTGAGGTTCTACCACCTACCAGAGAAGTTCCTGGTGGCCAGCATCGTGGTGAGGATGGCTCCCTGCACAGGTGAGAGGAGAGGGTGTGGTGGGGAGAGAAGCCGGAGGTGAGTGGGGAGAGGAGAGACAGAGAGATAGGTGATGAGTGGTGAAGGAGAGACAGGTGCTCCATTCATACGCGAAGCCAAAGCCTCTGCCCCGCATCAGTCCCCCATGCCCAAGCCCAGGGGCCACCCCCACCTCACTGGAGAAAACAGGGTGAACTCCACCTTAGCTGGCTCTGCTCCAGGGACAGGGCCATTCTAGACGCAGATATTAATAGGTCCCACCGGCATGGCCAGAGCTGGTGCATGGGCCCAGGGACACCTGTCTGGGGGCTGCTGAAGGCCAAGGAGGTGTCCTGCCTGGGCAAGGACAGGAGAACCTGCACCCCAGGGCCCCTCCCGTGTCCGCCCTCTGCTCCGGGGCACTCAGCACCTCACTCTAGTACCTGCACATCTCTAGGCTTGAGACCCTGGAAGGTTAAAGCAGAAAAGCCCTTTCTGTCAACAAGGGGGCTGGGGCTGGGGGCAGTGGCCCTTCTAGTCTGACGCTCTCTGGTTTGGACACTCTCCGAGTTCGACAGCCCATGGTTTTCCTCCTGATTCTGACTCTTCGAGACTTCTTCTATGACAGCTCCCCCTAGGGGCTGGGGGTAGTACTCCATTTTCCTGGCATCATGCTGGCAGCCACCCTTAGCCCAGGTCCCCATCCTGAGCCACCATGCCAAGCTCGGGAGCAATTGGTGAGAAGGTTCCAATGAGCCGGGGCCTCAGTATCTGTCACTCAGCATGCTGATGGCTTCTCTCTTCCGACCAGATGGGGACCCCTCGGTCGCTCTTTCTACCTGATCATGGGGTCCCTGGCAAGGTCTAGGCCAGGAGTTGTCATGGCCTGGAGAACACACAGGACCTGCTGAGAGGCTGCAGCTCAGGGCCCACCTCGGTCTCCATGTAATTTCCTTAGGGTCACGACCCTTACCAAGGTCTCTGGGCCATTCCTCACCCCCATCATGGCCTCCTTCCTAGTCACGTTTCACTTCTGAAACCTTTGCTGAAACACTGCAGTCCCCCTAAGGCAGTATTTCCCAAAGTGTAGTACGCGTACCCCCAGGGGTACGGGAATAATTTGGTGGGGGTACATGTTGCACCAGAGTTTGGTGGGGATATGCACTGCACCGTGCTTAGCTGCGCCTAATTCTATGTTCTCATGAGTATGAGGGGTACTCAGCGTTACGAAAATTATAGAAGGGGTACACATATGTCAAAAGTTTGGGAAACAATGCCGTAAGGGATCAAGCTCAAGTCTTGTTCCCTTTTCCACAGGCTTTTCTCTCTGTACAAAGCACCTGCTCACTCTGACATTACCCTGAAATGCCTGCTTCTCCTTTGGGGCCTCAGCTTGTATGCTACTTGCCCAGAACAGCTTTCCCTGGAGCCTTCCCTGGTCCCTCTAGACCTGGCTCATGGCCCTGCTGTGTACACCCACAGCCTGCGGGCATGTAATCACAGCACTCACCACGGCCCATCATGTCCTGGTTATGTGTCTGTCTCCACTGCTCACCGCCCTACCCAGACAGCAGGAGTTCAATAAACGTTTGTTGACTCAGTGAAGGAAAGGAAAGTGAGTTGTCTCCTGGGCACGGTGGAGACGAAGGCCACGCTACTCCCGTGTCTGGGGGCCTGGAGGGTGAGGACCCATTACCTTCAGTTTTCTCCTGGCGTTGAACTTCTTCAGGCAGTCCACGGTCTCCTGTCTGTGCATGCAGGAAGCCACGGTGGACCGGTGCTGGAGGGAGTAGGGAAGAGGTCTGTGAGTAGAAGGCAGACCTACCCAAGGGCCCCTCAGCAGGGCGTCTTATGGTTGTGGTTGGCCATCTTGAGGGAATAATTCTTTGTTCTAGGGCAGTGGTTGGCAAACTCATTAGTCAACAGAGCCAAATATCAACAGTACAATTGACATTTCTTTTGAGAGCCAAATTTTTAAACTTAAACTTCTTCTAATGCCACTTCTTCAAAATAGACTTGCTCAGGCTATGGTTATTGTGGAAGAGCCACACTCAAGGGCCCAAAGAGCCGCATGTGGCTCGCGAGCTGCAGTTTGCCGACCACTGTTCTAGGGGATGTTGTAAACCTTTCAGGAATTTAGCATTTGGTGCACCAGACAGTCAATGCCAATACACCCCGTCGTGATGCCAATCTCCAATTGGAATTTCCCCTGGGAATCACAGCAGGGTCAGTGTCTCTTGGATAAAGCCCCTCACCCCAGGGACAGGGACAGGGACAGGGACAGGACTTAGTGAAGGCCGTAACCCTGAGGTCTGGGTGGTCCCGGGAAGGGTCTTGCTGAGGAAGGCTCACCGAGATCCAGGGGTGCTTGAGGGCCTCGGCGGCCGTGATGCGTTTGGAAGGGTTGATGGTCAGCATCTTATTGATGAGATCCTTGGCTTCTGGAGTGACCGTGTCCCACTCTGGTGATGGGAACTGAAAGGGGCAGAGGGGCCAGGTTTGCCCAGCCTACCCCAGGCCACCCCTGCGATCCCCCAGCCCCTGACTGGCAGGGGAGCAGGCAGGGGTTCTACTGCCCATCCACTTGGGCATCCATAACCAGGAGGACTTGGGGCAGGGCGCCCTGACCCAGGAAAAATGAGAATGAGGGGCCTAGGAAAAGGGGGCCTCCCTCTGCTGTTCTGAGGATGTGCCTTATCTGGAAAGCAGCAGGCTTGTGGTGAGAGCCCAGGCTTCAGGATCACAAGGCTGGGCTCAAGGCTGCTGCCTGTGCTGAGTGACCTTGGGCGAGTCATGTGACCTGGAGGTGCTGTGAGGGTTAAGTATGGTATTAAACACATGGCACATAGCTTAATAGAAACCAGCCATGTCAAAGAGCAGTATAGTTTGTAGTTAGAAGCTTAGACACTAGAGTCGGACCGCCTGAGTTCAAATCCCAGCTCTACCATCTCTTAGCTGTATGAGCTGAGCAGTTATTGAACCTCACAGTACTTCACTGTTATTGTAAAACAAAGACAATAACAGTACCTATGCCATAGATTTGTGTGAGGACTAACTATAATAATACATAGAAAGCATTAGAAGAATGCTATATAAGTGTCAGTTATTATCATTTGTGTGTATATAGATCTATCTATCATCTATCTATCTAAATCTATATCTAGAGAGAGAAAGAGAACTTGGCTCTAGGATCTGCCCCCACTCCTACTCTCCCTCTCCCTCTCCCCAACCTCTTGCCTCATTTTGCTGCTGCTTCTGCCATCTGGAGCCCACCTCTTAGGGGCCCCTGGTCATAAGACACAGGCAGCTCATCGCCTGGCCTCAGTCAGCCCTCGACTCCACCTGACATTCACCCCTGGCCCACAACTAGAGAGTGGCAAGGAGACCCAGATAGACTGGGAGGGCAGGAGGGGGGCATCCTTGGGTCCTGACCTCACCAGCCGTTGGCTTTCTCTGGAAGGGGCTCAGGGTACGGCAGGGAGGCTGGAGAGAAGAGTGAGACTCACATCATAGGCGCCGGCTTTGATCTGCTGGTACAGGCGGTGCTGGTCCTCATCCCAGAACGGGGGGTAGCCCACGAGCAGGATGTACAGGATGACTCCTGGGGAGAGAGTGCGCCGAGGGGAACGTCAGCCCCTTGTGAGGAGAAGCGATGGGGAGGGGAGTGGTGGGAACGGGGAGAGAGGACACCAGAGGTGCCTTTGGAAGGACTCACCACAGGCCCACAGGTCCACGGGCTTCCCGTACGGGTCCTTCCGCAGCACTTCTGGAGAGAGGTATCCAGGCGTCCCGGCAAACCCTGCTCCCAGACACACAAACAGGCAGAAACACACCGAGGGTGGCAATAAGTAAACCAAAGCAAGGTCCTGCTGGAGGAGGGCTGAGAACTGCCCTGGAGCTGGCAGAAGCACCTCCTGCCCTCAGATGGAAGGCAGCGCCTCTAGACCAGGGGGCACAAGTACAAAGTACACTGGGCACCACCCCCACTCCAGAGCCTACGGCGGGAGTCTTTGACCAAACCCAGTGCCCTTCCCATGGGGTCCCGACTCAGCCCCATGAACTTCTAGCAAATCTTCCCAGCAGCCACTACCAATCAATTCCTGGGGGCACTCAAGACAAAATGTCCTTTTCAGTCAGCCCCATGTTGAGCTGAATGAACCCTGGCTCACGTCTACCCCTTTGAGGAGCTGGTCCTGGGATGGCAGGAGGCTGTCCCTCACGCGAGCTTTACTCTCCATCCCTTGGGGAGGTCTCTTTTTTAGGCTTCCTTTCCCTCATCTGTCAAATGAAGGCTTAGGTATTCCTGTTTTAAATACCTCCCAGCATTGTTGGGAGAATTGATTGAAATAATGGACACCCCAAGTACTCCAACAGTGATCACAAGAATGGTTCCTATTTATTGAGTGTGTTCCTATTTATTGAGCTGAGCACTTTCTATGCCTGATCACATTTAACCCTCACACAACCCTGAGGAACATTCTATCATTGCCCCCATTTTACAGATGAGAAAAAACAGGCTGGGAGAGGTGCCATGAGGCCCAATCACACGCCCCATCTGTAGCAGAGGCGGAACTGGAACCTAGAGCTCTGGCTCTTAACCACTGGTCAAGACTGCCCACTAAAAAGCGTCCCCGGAGAGCCGGAAAGACTCAATTATGCCCAAATCTCAGAGCATGCTGCATCCTCTGAGCTTAAAACCTTGCTTTGCCCCTTTTAATCACCTTTGACCTTTTCCAGGTTTCTTAGCCTCTGTTCCTCATCTGTAATGTCAGGATAATAGTCTCTAGCACCCAGGATGTGGGGGAAACCCATAGAAGCCTCCAGCCAACAGTGTAGGTCTATGTGCATGTGAAGAAGCTGTGTTCTGTTTGATAACCATGTCCCTGAGCCTAGCCCTACCCACTGACCCAGAGGCTGCGTGAGGAGGGACCTCTAACTCTGCTACCTGAGCCCCGGCTGGCCCAACACCTTCTCTAACCCGCCCCTGTTCTGTCGGAGGTTCCTAGAGGCCAACATAGCAACACCAGGCTGACCCCCAACCCCCCTGCCCCCACTCACCGAACCATGCCTGCTGCTCCCCCTCCACCTCTATGGCCAGGCCAAAGTCTGCCAGTTTCACCGCAGCGCCCTTGAGCTTGGAGGCCAGCAGCAGGTTCTCCGGCTTCCCAGGTCCAGAGAGAAGAGGGAAAGGTGGGGAGGAAAGGGCCAGAGGACAGTGAGCAGGTCCAGAGCCTCATCGCCAGGGGCCTCCGCTTACAGGCAGAGCTGCTGGATAATCCAGAGGCACACTGCCCCCGCCTCCAGCTCCAACCCCAGGACCCTGAGTTTAGTCCCCAGAGAGAGGACTACCCCACTGCAAGTCTTTTGCAACAGAAAGAATCTTCCTCCACTAGCCACCCCCTCCTTCCTCTCCCCCCCTCAGGGTCCGGATCTGGGGCTGAGTTGAGGGGACAGGCATCACCACAATAAGAAAGAAGAAGCAACATCTACTGTTCCTACAATGTGACAGCCACTAGGCTAAGAGCTTTACACACATAACCTCATTTATCATCTCAGCAACTTTTTGGGGTAGGCCTAATTATCCCCATTCTTATAGTCCCTGAAACATTCATGCTAGTTCTTACCTCAGGGCCTTTGCACTCTCTGTTCCCCTGCCTCGTTTGTCCTCCCTATGAGCTTCACGGTGCTGGCCTCTTCTCTTCATCTGGCTCTCACCCTCATGCCACCCCTTCCAAGAAGCCCTCCATGACTACCCTAAGTAGAGCACCCAGGTATCTCCTCTTAGCTTCTTGTTGTTACCTTCACAGATCTCACCATGATTTGTAATGTTGTGTTTCCTTGAAAATAAGACATCCTCCGAAAATAAGACCTACTTCCAGGTTTCCTTTTGAGTGAAATATAAGGCATCCCCCCAAAAATAAGGCCCCCCTAGGCTAAACATGAGAGATTTGGTCCATTGATTCTGAAAGAAATGGAGTCACAAGAAATTCACCAAGAAATTCAGGAATTGGATTGTTATGATGATGTTCCAGAAGATGATGACATGATTGTCATTGAATAAATGAGTAAATTCTTGATACTGTAGGGTTCACAGTTTGTCTGGTTTGTGTTGACAGCTACCGTACTACTGCACCATATATAGGTAATAAATTCCCTTTATTTTCATTTAACAATAAATGTGTACCGTATTCTTCTTCATGGAAAAATAAGACATCCCCTGAAAATAAGACCTAGTGCATCTTTGGGAGCAAAAATTAATATAAGACACTGTCTTATTTTCAGGGAAACAGAGTGTTTCCCCCATCTGCCTATGTGCTTGTACATGACCTGTCGCCCTCTCGTATGTGAATTATCTGTCTTGTCCACCACTGCATTGCCAGCACCTAAGACAGAGGCCCGCACATACCAGGCACGCAGTAAGCATTTGTCATATGAAGAAAGAGGAGGAAACTGAGGCTCAGAGAGGTAAAGTGACTTGACAGAGATCACAGAGCTGATAAGAGACAGATCCAGAATCAGGGCACAGTCTGGTTCCCAAGCCATGCCTTTAGCCACTCTAAGCTGAGCAACAGGGATGGGGAACGAAGGTCAAGGGGGCCTCAGATATGCCTCCTGGCCTCTGGGGAGTTGAGGTTGCTGTCTCCTGCTTGGTCTAAAAGACAGGAAATCGCCCTCATTAGGACGGAGAGAAGTTAAGAGTGTGGACTTCCCAGTTAAGATAGCCCTAGCTTCTGACCCCAGTTGTGGGATTTGGATAAATTATTTCACCTCTCTCAGCTTTAGTTACCTCTCAGAACATGGGGACAGTGCCTATCATTGGGTGGCAGATGAATGAGTTTCCATCATTCACGTTAAGGACTTCACAGTGGCAACAGCAAGTGCCTGACAGGCACCCGAACTCATTTTCTGCCTGGGGAGGGGCTGGGGCGCCAAGTCTCTGGGGACAGCTAGCTTCCTCGGACCACTTCGCCACTTGGATTTCCAAGAGGGCCCCACCTCTGACCTTTCACTGCCCAGAGCTAGATGGGCCACAAACAAATATAGCTCCTTACGGCCCCTTTTGTCCTCTGGGGACTGCGTTCCCAACGTGTCCTGGGTCTCAGTAGCCGTCCTGCCCTGATTTGATGAATGTGCCGCTAATTATTCCATCCAGAGTGGCCTAAATTTGTGCTGCCTCTCCTCCCCCGTCCGCCCGTGCAGGGGCCGCAGCTATAATGGGAACAGGCCTTCGGGGAGAGCCACCCTGCAGTCTGGCCAGAGACCTTCCTGCCTATGAGTCTAGACTGAGCCGTAGGGAGCTCACCTGCGTTCGGGTGAGGAGCTGTAGACTACTCATGGCAGTCAGAGGAGGGCAGGGGCTCTGCTCAGGGCATTTCAGCCCAAAGAGGAACCAGGCCTGACTAGACGGTGCCCAAAGAGGGTGCCCAAGGAGGGTGCCCTGGGTGAGAAGGGCCTGGAAGTTCTATCCTGAGTGGGAATGGGGAACAGCCTGTGGATCACTCAGAAGCCACCACAAAGCCACCCAAGTGCCCCCAGGGCTGCTCTGAGCTGGAGGCTTGAAGTGTGTGGCCCCAAAGGGTAGAACTGGGGAAACCCCCATAGCAGGGAAGAATGAAGGAGCATTTCCTAACAGTACAGGGGCTACCCTGTAAGAAGTGAATTTGTAGTCACTGAGGACCAAAGAGCAGAAGTTTAATGGGTACCCAGAGGGTTGTCTCAAGGGGCTACTGCACAAGCAGGAGCTGGATTGAGTGGTTTTTGGCCTCAGACCACCCAGGGCCAGGGTTCCCGTCTTAGCTCAGACACAACTGAACTGCATGTTCTCAGGCAAATCCCTGGGACGCTTTAGGCCTAGTTTCCTGCTCTGCAAAGGAGTGATGCTATGAGCTACCGGCTGCTGAGGCCACGAGGCCCAGCAGAGGAGCGCTGTGAAGTCTGTGCTGACCCAGCAAGACCGTGCGCTGATGCCACCCCTGGACTCCGCATCGGCTTGTCCTGTCCATCTCCTTCTCCAGGTGGGGAGAGAGAGGACCCGGGGGCCCCAGGACCCTTTTCATTCTCCCCCTGCCCCCAGCCGCCAGAGACCTGGAAACAAGAGTAACCGCATCTGTGTACCAGGCACTGTGCTGTCTCCTTTGACATTCTCGCCAACCTGTGCAGAGGTTGCTATGGCAACACCCCCTATAAAGAAGCTGACACTGTGAAGCTAGAAAGTGGCCCAGCTGGGATTTGGACCAGACCACAGCCAGGCTTGGCATTCTAACCGTGTCTCACCTGCTTGGCACAAAGCACGCAGGGCTGCGAGTCGGGAGGCCTGGGTCCCGAGCCCAGATGCTCCCCCTCCCTAGGCCCAGTTTCCTTATCTGAACAGTGAGGGGAATAGCCTCCCTCCAGCCCAACAAGGGGGCATTAAAGGGGACCTGACACCACTGGTGGCTCTGCAGGTGGAGGGAAGGCCAGGGGGCAGAGGGGCAGTCCCTGGGGAGCTGCCCCCTCGGGCTGGCGGCTCACCTTCAGGTCCCGGTGCACCACCCCCATCTGGTGGCAATGCAGCACAGCCTCCAGGATCTGCTGAATGCAGTGGCTGGGGAGAGAGAGGCAGGCGTCACATGGGAGGGCGGGCCTCCCCTGGGAAGCTGGCAGGCGAGATGCCCTGCCAGGCCACCTGGGGAACTCACCTGGCATCAGCCTCACTGTAGTACTCCCGGGCCACGATGTCCTCAAACAGCTCCCCGCCGGTGACCCTGGGGACACAGGCTCAGTCACCCTCCCACAGAGGCCCCAGGTGCCGCCTCTGCTGGGAGAATCTCCAGGGAGCTAAGGGCGGGGCCTGGGCACCTCAGAACCTCAGCCTCAAAGGGAGGGGCTCACAGGGATGTCCCCCGCTGCACCCCCTTCCTGGCTTCCAGCCCACACTTCCTCTACCTTCCCTCCCTCCAGCCCTGGCTCTTCCCCGGCCAAGCCCAGGTGGGAGCTGGGGTGGGACCCTCAGAACACATCACTAGGATTCATTAGGTTCCTAGAAGCCTAAGGGCCGGGTCTCGGTTTTGCTGTTTAATAGACTTTATTTTTAGAGTCGACTTAGGTTCGCAGCAAAGCTGAGAGGAAGGCACAGAGGTTTCCCACACACCGCTGTCCCTGCCACACGCATGCTCTCCCCCATGACCAACACCTCCAGAGCTGTTGGGTTTTTTAACGGATGAGACCAGTGTCATCACAGAGCCTCTGCCAGCCCGGGAACCACCGGGCCTCTCATTTCATTATGGTTTTCCATTCAATCGACTGACGTTCAAAACTTTAACATTATTCCAAAGGGAAGCTTTGGATCACCGGGAGCCACAGATAGAGACAAAGCTAATGTGTTTCAGGATCACCCACTTGCAATCACTTCTAGGAAACCCTATTGGAAGAGGGAGCTCAACTCGGTCTGGGGCATTTGGGACCCAGAGAAGCCCTCCTTGCTCCGGCCGCCCTGATGTGCCCTGTGCATCCCAGGGTGGGCCCGAACTCACAGGTCGAAGATCAGGTAGTGGTGCCCCTCCTCCGAGATGCTGTCGTGGAGCCGCACTGTGGGAGGAGCCAAGGCAGCCAGTTACAGGAGTGCCCACTGCCCTCCCTCATCCCTCTGGCAGCAGCACTGCAATTCCTCAGCCACTGAGCACAGTGAGGTGCCAGGGGCTCTGACAAATGCAGGTGAACAGGGGCTCATCACTTCACGCACTGCCGAGAGGGTCTGTGGTCTCTAAGCCTTTCGCCCCCTTTTTTAAAATATATTTTTATTGATTTCAGAGAGGAAGGGAGAGGGAGAGGGAGAGGGAGATAGAAACTTCAATTATGAGAGAGAATCATCGTTTGGCTGCCTCCTGCACACCCCAAATGTGGGATCAAGCCCACACCCTGCATGTGCCCTGACGGAATCAAATCGTGACCTCCTGGTTCATAGGTCAACACTCAACTGCTGAGCCACCCTGGCTGGGCCAGACCTCTCTTTTGGGTCAAAGTTCGGTTTCCTCCCCCGCTCCACTTCTCCATTTCCTTTCTGAGCAAACAAGCATCATGGGATGATCCTGTCGCTCACATCTCTGCCTTTTGCTAGCTGTGTGCCTTTGGGCAAGCTGCCACACCTTTCTGGGCCCCTCGTTCCTTGCCTGGACGATGAGATTGAGACTCTTGGATTGGAAGCACACAGTTGGTGCTCACTCGGTGCTGGGACTATCCCCGATCTGCTTCCAGGTCTGAGCAGAGAATAGAGGATGTGGAGGCGGCAGTGACAGCAGTCCCCGAGTTCTGGCATGCTGAAAAACTGTCCTCCCTTCACGTCTCGTTTCCCAAGGACAGAGCCAGGCTCCCAGGAGCCCAGAGCGCCCGAAAGTAGCTCCTGAGCTCCTGAAACAAGGGGCCTGAGGCCTGGGGCTGACTCGGGGGCCTGCACCCTGCCAGCCGGACAGGTTCACACCCTCCCCTGTGCTACAACCTGGAAATGTGCACGGCTCGGGTGCGGGCCGGAGGATTAGGATGGATCGCACGTTGGGGAATTACACAGCTGTGCGGATCACGCGGCGACTATCTATTCACTCGTTCGGAATCAGCTCTCAATTATGTGTTTTTGTGAAAAGCAATATGCAAAACCGTGTGCCAACGTTGTCCTTTCTCCAAGGATGCATTTAAGCTTGTATGTCATAGGTCTCCCCGGAGGAGATGGAGATGTGGGCATGGGTGGGCCTGGGAGAGGGGAATTGGAGGTGTGACACCAGGGGTCATGGGTAGGTGAGGCTTACTCTTCACGGTGAACCCTAATGCCATTGGGATTTTTGCCATGTGCATGGATTTCTGACTCAATATTGACTCCCCTAAATTCTTTATGGCTCTCATATCTGCACATAAAGTTTAGAGAAACAGGCATCCAATACCCTGGACTGGGTGCCTACTCCAGGCTGGGGACCAGAGATAGAGGAGGAGAAAGGGACAGAAATTTACATTTTAAAAATGTTTAATTCTTGCCGAAGCTGGTTTGGCTCAGTGGATAGAGCGTCGGTCTGTGGACTGAAAGGTCCCAGGTTCGATTCCGGTCAAGTGCATGTACATTGGTTGTGGGCACATCCCCGGTAGGGGATGTGCAAGAGGCAACTGGTCGATGTTTCTCTCTCATCGACATTTCTAGCTCTCTATCCCTCTCCCTTCCTCTCTGTAAAAAAATCAATAAAAATAAAAAATAAAAAAATAAATAAAAATTCTGTTTAAAAAAAAGTAAATAAATAAATAAATGTTTAATTCTTAAGTGATGATATATATTTATAAATAATGCCTGAAAGACGTTTTGAATCTATTTTAAAGCAAAGCTAAAAAAGCAAGCTGTCTCCGAGGACATATAATATAATCCTGCTTTGATTTTTTTTAATCAACATTTTATTAGGAAAATTTTAAATGTATAGTCAAGTGGACACTCATGTGTCCACCACCTGGGTTCTACCATTGTTTCCTTATTCTTGCCTAACTACATTTATATCCCTTCCTCCACCCACTCACTGATTTTGATTTTGAGTGCATGTCAAAGCAAACGTAGGCATAATTTTTAAAAGGTGGATGTGTTTTGAACGAAGCATTCTGCATGTTTTGTGAACGAAGCATTCTGCAACTCTGCACCGGGGCTCTGCCCGGGCCCCTCAGGAAGATGGTGCAGCCACCTGCCGCTGCTGGGAAGGCGGCCTGCTCACGGCGCAGCTGCCTCTCCTTCCTGGAGAGCCGCCCACTGCTGCTAGAGCCACCTTGCCCAGCAGGTGACCTGCAGCTTCCAGGCAATGACTGAGGAACGTCGCTGCAAAGGTCCAGTCTCCTTGTCTTAAGGAGAGATAACTCCAAGATGGAACTTATGCTCCAGCAGCCTCCCCACTGCACCCCTCCCCACCCTGAAACACACACACACACACACACACACACACACACACACACACACACATTTGGGATTAAGTCAGTTAGATTTGACCTCAGGCCATTCCTTCCCCTTCTCCTTCCTGCGCCCCTATCCCCATCCCTTACAGGTCTCTGCTGGGAGTACAGGTACCTCAATCTCTGCCTGGGGCTCTGCTGCCAGGAAACCTGTGCAAGAAGAGATGTATAGGTGTCCTTGAGAGGCATAGGCATTAGCTATCATATGGAAGCATGATCATACAGTGTTAGCCCTTGATGCTGAGGTTCTAGGAGATATTTTTAAAATTACTTGTCTTCTCATTTATGGGCCATAAGCCTGCACTGTTAGTGTATCAAGGCCAAGTGTGGGAAAAGACCCTTTTCGCCCTGGCCAGTGTGCTCAGTGGTTAGAGTACTAGCTCACACACCAAAGGGTTTTGGGTTTGATTTCCAGTCAAGGGCATGTACCTAAGTTGTGGGTTCCATCCCTGGCCCTGTGAGGGCATGAGGAAACCAATCGTGCCTTTCTCACATCAATGTTTCTCTTTTTCTCTCTCTCCCCCTTTCTACCTCCCCCCTCCTCTCCACTCTCTCTAAAAAAAAAAAAAAAAAAAAAAAAAAAAAAAAAATCAATGGAAAAAATACCCTCAGGTGAGGATTAACGACCAAAGAAAAGACCCTTTTCTCTCCCATCATCCTCCGGATGGACTCTCGGTGACAGACTCCTTCCTATCTCCTCTGCTCCGGCGGGTGTGAGAGGTTTTGACTTCCCTTTTCTGAGGGTAAAAAGCTCTAAGAAGCCACGTTGCAGCCAGAACAATCTTAGAAAGGCCTTCTGCGGTCTGCCCCAGCAGCCATTTGCGGGGGGCTCCAAAGAAACTAGGGTTCCAGGTCCACCCTCTCACTAGGAGCCCCAGCCCCTTGAGAGAGGGTCCTTGGGGTTCAGGGGAATGGACAGAACTAGATGGGGGTGTTGTTTCTGAAGAGCTGACTTCAGCTCAGGAGGTGTCTTTGTGCTGATTGTAAAAGGCTGCCCCTCTGAGCAGCCAGGCGGGCCACACGGGCTGGACTCCAGCCTCCATCCAAGGCGCAGAACATGGGCATCAGTTTCCGTCCCTGGGGATGGCCAACGCCGCTCCGAGCCCAGCAGACAGGGCCTCTTCTCTCACTGATGTTCTTACACACAGAACCTCTGCCCATCGGTACAGGCCTCCCTGACGACAGACTCAGCCCAGCGCCCAGGAGGAAAGCGGAATCCAAGGACCACAGGCGACATGACAGTCCCACCCCCGGGCAGAGATCGGCACGTCTGTGCCCATTGAATTATGCTGTCACTGTTCTGAATTTTTAAAATGTTGTCAGAGAACAAAAATTCTGTAACCTAGTTTTCATGTATGTAGCTGAACTCACGAATCTCTGACATTCCTGACATAGTTCTAACAGCTATTGTTTTTCTCTTAGAAATTAAAGGAAAGTACTTTTCCCTCTACCCACACGTGCCCGCCCCCTACCCCCACCCTTACCCCTGCTGACAGCACACTTCTACAGTCCACTTGGGAAGCTGAATAGAATGAGAATAGGCTCTGGAGTTGGACGTGCTAGGTTCACCTCCCAGCGACATCTCTTACAATGTCTTCCGGTGAATTCTGTAACCTCTCCGAGCCTCTTTTCCTAACAGCAAGGGTACCTGGCATCCCAAAAAGACTTGCTAACCCCTCAAGTTGTCCCCTGCTCCTTGGGGTGGCCTTCTGGGGTCTGCCCCATCAGCAGGTGGTGGTGATACAGAGAGCTAGTCTGTCAGCCCCAGAGCCCATACTTACTGCTCCCCATTATAGCTGGGAATGAGAGGGAGATGGGGTGCAAATCGGAGGAGGCAGCATTGACCTAAGACAGCTGCAAGGAAGTAGCAATACACACACGCGCGTGCACACACACACACACATACACGCCTCCTTTATAGGAACTGTGGGATTTTGTGGACAGAGATCACTCATAACTTCCTCCATGATACCACTGGGGGTTGGAGCACAGGAGGGCACCACACAGTGAGGCGGGAGCAGATCAGAGACCAGCGTCCAATCAGAGTTCCTCCTCCCCCAGCTGCCAGCTGTCCCTTCTTTGGTTCTGGTGCTTCCACTGCTGCTGCTGCTGTTTGTGCAGCCCTGCTCCCCTTCCCGGGCCCAGGGAAGGGGAGGTGCTTTCTGGGTATAAATAGCAGATGGAGATGCTTCTCTCCAGCAGAAGAGTTAACCCTTGGGGCCCTGCGCACCGGGAAACACTTCCCTGGAGGGAGAAGGTGTGGTGGCTGTCAGAGTTGGAATATTCCTTAGCGGGCACCCAGGCCTTGCTCCTCAGAGCGTGGTCTGTGAACCGGCAGCCTTGGCACTGCCTCGGCGCATGTTAGAGATGCTAAATCGTGGGCCCCACCCAGACCCAGATCTGCCAAACCAGAATCTACTTGTTAACACGATGCTCAGGTGGTTCCGACGGCACTCTCCTTGTGAAGCTGGGAGAAAGTGGCTCAGAGAGGGTAGTGCTCCTCCCCAAGGTCACATAGCCGTTTCCTGCAGAACTTTATCTAAAATCTGTACTTCTTTCCCTCAGGACTCAGGACTCCGATGGGCAGGGAAACAGCCCCTCAGACTGTGCAGGGGTGGAGAGGGGAGTCCGCCTGCCATGGGTCCCGCCCCTGCACACAGCCTGCATGCTTTCTATCACTGGGCAGGGCCTGCCTTGCTGCTTGCCTGGAAGGGGCAGGCCAGCCACAGGGCTGGGCAGGTGAGCAGGACCACCGTGCAGGCTGACTCAGCATGGGGGTGAGGTAGGGAAGTGGGCTGCACCGGCCAAGGCCAAGCTCGGCCTATTTTTGTCTCTCGAGAGAGATGGAAGGCTCCGGGAGTTTTCCTGAAACAGCTTTTCTGAAGGAGGCTGCTGGCAGCGTGGGCCGCGGGGAAGGGCCCTTTCTTCACCTCCCCCCAGCCAAGCTGGTCTCTGAGGAGAGTGGAAACCGTCAAAGACACCCCCTGTCCCATCTCTCTTACCACCATCCCCAGAAAAGAGAGCAGCTGCCTCCCCACCCCATCAGAAAAAATAAAGAAACAAACAAACAAAAAAAAAACCACCAGGATGGGCAGGGGAGTAGGGCCAAGCCCCACCCTGCACCCCTCTCGTGTTCCCCAAGAACTTACCGATGTTGGGGTGCTTCAGCAGGCGGCAAATGCGGGCTTCACGCTCCAGCTTCTGATGGTCTGAAACAGGAATAGGTAGATCCCGGGTGAGTCCCAGGTGAGGAGTAACCTCCACCCACTCCATGTCTCCCTCCCACAGCCTCTTAGGATAACCATCTCCCAGAGCAGCCTCTGGCCCTTTCAAGCAGAGCTGCGTTCTCAGGGCAGCGAGAGGCAGCAGAAGACGGAGAGGCCGGGTTGAGATGATGCAGAAGTCCCTGTGGGCCTCAGGTGCCAGGGCTCTCAAAGGAAGAGCATCCTTGAGCCCCTCCTTGTATTAGACCCAAACGCCATGAAGCCGGGCCCGGCTCCTGCTGGCCCTCCTCCAGCGCTGCCCCTCACACTACACTCCCGCCCGACGACGAACCGCTGAAATCCACTTCTCTGGGCACACCCTGCTCAGTCCTCTCACTTTGGGGCCCTCATACACCGGAACACTCCCCCTTAACCTCCCACTGGCCCTTCACTGGCCACGTCTACCCATTCTTAATGTCGCCCTCTGTGGCAGCCTGCCCTGATTGCCAGGTTGGTGGGCCCCTTCTCTGTGCTCTCAGAGCCCCTGGATAGCACATCTCACTCTGTCTTGTTGCTATCTCTACCCTTGAGTATGGACGGGGACTTGATCTGTTGTGCCCCTGGCATCTACCCAAAAGCCTGGCACCCAGTAGGTATTCAAAAAATAACTGCATGAAAAAACAAATGATTAAATGAGTGAACTTCTCTGAAGGAGTGGGTATTCTCTGCCGAAGAGCTGTATTAATTTGCAGAAGACACCTCCCAAGCAGAGAACACAGAGAGCCCCGCAAAACACGCAGGGTAGAACTTGTATGTGGCTGAACCAGAGCTCTCACACCTGCCTTCCCGGACTTTTGTCCACACCCCTTGGGTCTCCCCGCTCACATGGGACAGAGGCTGGTTCAGGATCTGCCCCCTGAGGCTGCTGGGCAAGTCATACCCCATTCAGTCCTCCCAACACCCTGGCCCTGGGCACCGCTGCCCCCACTTTACAGATGAGAAAACTGTAGCCTGAGAAGCCAGGGCCTCATCAGTGGCAGAACTGGGACTGGAAATGTATTTTCTAATTCCCTTCCTGGTGCTTTACGCACTATTCAGTTATTAATGCCTTAATTAAAAAAACAACACCAATAAAAGGGGAGCCGTTTACAAACGTAGAATATTTACCATGTGCTAGGCACTCTGCAGAGCTTTATATACATTTCAAGCCCTCACTACAAACCTTTGAGGGAGGTGTAATTACTCTTCTGCCTTTTAAGAGGAAGAAACAGAGGTTCAGAGAGGTTAAGCACCTGCCCAAAGTCACACCCGTCGTGAGCAGTAGAGCCATGTGTTGTACCCAAGCGGCCAGACTCTAGGAGTGAGCTTTGAAGCCCTGTGCTGTACTGTTCTCCATGCCCTGACTAATCTCCACCACCTCTGCCTGCTCCTCCGCCCCCCCTCCCATTCTCAAAGGGGAAAATTGAGCCCCACGGGAGGGTTCTCACAAAGACTCAGAGGTGGAGCTAGGACTAGAACCCTGGTCTCCCAAGGGCCTCTTCAGAGCAGGTAAGCACCAGGGAGGGTGATGAGGATGGAGTCCTCGCCCTTGCCCCTGGCAGCCAGCTCCCCTTTCCCCACCCCCTCCATGGGAACAATCATTGGCCATCCTCCAAGGGCTGCAGAAGCCAAGATCAATACCGAAATGTGGCTTTTCCATCAGCAAAGCAATTAAATTCAATCAAGTTTTCATAGAGTATAAGCTCAACTCCCCAGCTAACGACCAGCCGCAGGCTAAGGAGGGGAGGTAGGCTCAGGGGCATTGGCCTAACTCCCCTTCCCTCCCAGCCTCCTTCTTTATTTACCCTTTAGGGTGGGGGAAGGGCAATTCCAAGGCAAAGGAGGGGAATCCACCATGTACTGAGGAAGGCTGGGCCCACTCCCTGCTCCATACTCTGTCCCTTCCACCCTCCATCTCCAGCAGAACCAGAAATGAGGCAGGTCAAAATTGGGCCTCCCAGAGGGGCAAATTCAGAATTCTGGTGTTTCTTCCATGTGAGCTTAGCCAGGATCAGAATTATACCCAGGATTGAAAGAAGAAACCGTTGGTCGTGCAGCTAACTTGTGCCTGGTTACCAGACCTTGGTGCGGGAAATGCTAGGGACTCATTGTTTTTATAAATCTTGTAATCATCTTGTGTGTAGTACAGTTACACTGCATTGCAACTTGCTAAAAGGATTAACTTGAATGGGAACATACATGTTACACAATGATTTCTATAACTGTTTGAAAATGTTCTCATTTTCTAATAATATACAGGAAACCTCAAGAAATGTAGGGATTGTATTTCTCTTGACCTCTGAGGCCTCATTCTGTTGTGTAGATGGGGAAACTGAGGCATGGTGATAAAGAAGCAGTCACTTGCCGAAGCCGGTTTGGCTCAGTGGTCTGCGGACTGAAGGGTCCCAGGTTTGATTCTGGTCAAGGGCATGTACCTTGGTTGTGGGCACATCCCCGGTAGGAGGTGTGCAAGAGGCAGCTGGTCGATGTTTCTCTCTCATCGACATTTCTAGCTCTCTATCTCTCTTCCTTTCTCTCTGTTAAAAATCAATAAAATATATTTAAAAAAAAAAAAAAGAAAAAGAAAAAAAGAAGAAGCCGTCACTTTATCAAACTCACTCAACTGGATGGTCCAGCCTTATTAGAACTCAAAGCCCTGAGAATCCACTCATGGACACACACCCCTAACCCTAATCTGTCAAAAGTCCTCAGCAGCCAAGGAGCTCTCATCCATATATAAAAAAGCCAAGTGACAGGAATGACCAGAACGACTGGAACAGCTGGTTGCTATGACACACACTGGGTCCAACCAACGGGCCTGATCAGGGCTGGGGCCAGCCATCCAACCTCCTGTGGCCTCTCTCCCACCATTGGCCCGGCCCCAAATGGCCTCCATCGGGGCGGGCCAGCCAGATCCCACCCATGCACAAATTTGTGCACTGGGCCTCTAGTTAAAATATAAAATAGATCCTGTCATTCCCAGGCTTCAAACTCCCCGATAGCTTCTTAATGTCTTTATAACACAATCCAAACTCCTCACTATAGCCAAGAAGACCCTGCCTCATCTTGGCCTTGCCACCTTGGTCTCCTTTTGAGCCTCAAGCACACCAAATCCTTCCCACCTCGGGGCCTTTGCACTTGCTGTGCCCTCTGCCTGGAATGCTCTTATCCTGGGCCTTCTCGTGACTGCAGCCTTCTTTTTTTCTGCCTCATCTACTTCCCCATCACCTTGACTTATTTTCTTCACAACACTCATCGCTTCCTGAGATTGCCCACCTGGTCTGTGTTTAATGCTCTTTCGGTCCTGCTTCCTGAGAACACGAGGCTGCCCACCAGTCACTACCGTGTTCCCAGGCTTAGAGCCCAGCTGGCCGAAGATCCCATAGCTGAGAATGGGCAGAGCTCAGACCTCGATCCATCTTCACAAAGACTATCCCATCTTGCCTCCCATTCTAGTAATTAATTCATTGCTAAATCAACCCACCCAGGTAGGTAGAGCCCCACACTGGTGAGAGGTCTGCAGAAAGCAAGTCTACAGCCCTGGAAGGGCCGACCCCCAGTGCCCACAACATGTCTTATGAACATTCCCCCTCCCTTCCTGGGTGCAGGCCTCCAGGTGTTGGGGTTGTGGGGACCAGTCCTGCTCAGAGCTCAGCAGGCAGAGGTAGATAGGTACTCTGGAGGTAGGTTATGGAGGCCAGCAGGGTATGGTGGGACAGAGCAGAGGTGGAGGGGGTGGGGGGGGTATAATCAGGCAGTTCCAGGGCTCTCTGCCTGCAGAGGGGTAGGTTCCTGCCCAGGTGGGCTCCAGGGGTAGATAGGCTCCAGAGGCAGGTGGGTGGCGGGATTGGGATCAGAGGCATGGGAACCAGGAGTCTGGAACAGGAAGTGCCCCATCCTCCATGGGCCTCAGCAGGGCTCCTGATCCTGAGAGGTTGGATAAATAATCCCCAGGACTGAGTGCCAGGCAGGGTGGGAGGAAGAGGAGGAGAGGAGAGATGCTCCCTCACATGGGCCTACAGCTCTGGGGCAGCTGAATGAGCACAGGCCCTGCTTCCCACCCCCTGTCCTGAGGCTGGACACCAGGGAGCCGAGAAGTGGCCCCTCAGGGCCAGGGTGGACAGTGAGGCCTACGGAGGTCGCTGTGCCCAGGCCAGTCACCTCTGGCTGCACCAGCCGAGCCCCTGTGCCCAACCATGGCAATGAACTCTTTCTGAGTGTGCCCAGTGAGCTGGGGCTGGAAAGCACACACAGCCCCTGGCAGGGACTTCGCCGAGCAGACACTCGCTGACAGGGTTTTGTCAACGCGGAGCCCGGGCCTCACCTACTGCATCCAAGTCCAGGGGTGGAGCCGCACAGGGCAGCTGCAGTTTTATAAAGGCTCCCAAGGCATTTGGCAGGGATCCGGACAGGCAGCATTTTTACTTCTCACTTCATGTGTATCTGGTTTCTTGGAGTCATCTATCCTATGAGCACTTTATTGAAAAGTCTTAAAAATATATACAAGTATCTCCTGGGTTTCAAAACCACTGGATAGAAGAGGCTGCCCCAGTGAAGGGGAAGTGTAGCTCCCTGGCGGTTGGACAGACACCCAGGGGGGAACTACCGCCCCCCACACACACACTCCGGGAGCGGCCAAAGGCACTTGGGAGTGCCAGCAGGAGCAACTTCGCGTGCACTGCCAAATATTCAGTCTCAAATTGTTGCCCGCTCCAGGCACCTTGAGTAGCAAACAAAGGAACTGGCTAAAAAGGAGCCCAGCTTTCCTCCCGCTGGGGGGGAAGCATTGGCAGCTGGCAGGCTCCTTGGGAAAGGTTCCTTCAAGAACATCCCCACTCCCACTCTCCAGACTCACCTGGGCCTGGGCCACCTTCCTCCCAGGAAGTCAAAGGGTCAAGAAATCAAAAGAGGGGGCATGGCGGTTACTGCCTGGCACAGCCCATTGCACACACTGCCCAGGAATGCTTAGTCACCTTCTAAAAAAGAGGCAATTTCTCTCCATTCTCCCCCATACATGAGTGTGTGTGTGTGTGTGTGTGTGTGTGTGTGTTGAACCCACTCAAGACCCCCAGCACCCAGGAAGGACCTCGGTTCCTGATCCTCCCTTGTTTTGAGGCAACATCAACCTGTCACCCCAAGTCGAAACTCTGGTCCTGCCCCCACTCTTTTTCAGGGACATCTCCCTCGATTGTCAGAGACACAAAACACAGAGGGCACCAGGCTGCCCCTAGTCACACAGCAACAGCAAGGCCAGTTCCACCATCTGGACAAGAGGCAGCGCACTTGTTGGCCCTCCTGCCCGTCCTGGTCCCTCCCCCTGGCTCTGGCTCCAGACCTTTCGCAGGACAGGTCTCTCCCTTCCTTCCACGCAGGCTTTCATGATGGCCACATGCCACTGGGGCCCTGGGCTTTCAAAGAGTGCAGCCCACCCCAACTCCAGGCTTTTCTCCCGGCAGGACGCTGGTTGGCCTATAGGGGAGCGTGGTAACTAGGAGAAAGTGCTGGGCGCCCAACCACACTGAGTCAGAGAGATGAAAAGCAGCAACACAAGGGACTGCTGGAAGGCCCGCAGGGGACAGCGTGAACATCCTGATTCAGCCTCTGTGATCCCCGCACCCGCTGGGCCCTCACCCAGACACAGCTGTCACCTGCGCCAGGCAAATACCTGGACTATGCCAGCCCTGCACACGGTGTCTCCCACACCACACAAGCCCTGGGCTGCACAGCCCACACCTGCACCATGCCACCTGCCAGAATCCCCTCCACCACCCAGTGATCCCCCCAAGGTAGCTTAGACACTGTTCAGACCAGGGATTGAATCTTTGAAGGTAACCCTCACCAAAGACCCAACACCCTCACCGTGGCCACCGCTATTACTGCCCGAGTCATTACTGCCACAGTGAAGAAGCAAGACTTCTAGGCAAGATCCCCAAGTTTTACCATCCACGTGAATTGCCTGGATGTGCAGACTCTGAGTCTGGAGTCAAGAATTTGCATGTTTACCAATCTTCCAGTGATGATGTTGCTGCTGGTCTAGGCTCGCTTCCAAATTAGGATTACCTGTGGATCTTTCCCAGGTCACACATCCCAAGCTAATTAAATCACGGGAGTGGAGCCCAGGCGTCAGGAGTGTTTGAAACTCTCCAGGAGATCCCATGGCTAGAACAGGTTTGGAAGCCACTGTCCCAGGGGGCATCAGGGACCAGAGATCAGACTGGTGTGGTTGCCATGAGCACCTGGAGTTAGATGGACACTAGCTGAGCACCTTGTCTGTACAAGGCGCTGTCCTAGGTACTGAGCATATCACAGGGAATGAGACCCCTCCTTACCCTCTTAGAACTTCAAGTCATGAGGAAGATGAGTGTTAAACAAGGAACCAAGCCAGTAAATGGATTAAGTCCAGGTTGGGAGGTGGGGAGGGGAGCCACAGGAAAGTAAACAGTAATGAGAGATATAAAATGGGAGAGACTCCCTCAGATTTGGGAATCAGGGAAGTCTCTCAAAGTATGTGACCTTGATAGTCGGCATAGGAGCCAGGTAAGGGCAACGGGGCAGAGGGAACAGCAGGTGCAGAGGTCTAGAGGTGAGAATGGGGGCGAGAGGCAGAAAAGAAGGGAAAGGAAGTCCCACTTGGCACCCTAGCTCACCTGCATGTCCAGGCAAGGAGCTTGGCCTATTAGAAAGGTCTGACCTCCAGCCTTGATCCGTCAGGATGGGAAATGGCGGGAGGGATCTGTTTTTGTAGGACCCACAAGAAGAGCTCTCACCCCTGCCTGCAGCATCGCCCCAGGGGACAGACTCCAGTCCTTGTTCTAAGCCAAGGGGCAGAAGGAGGGGTGAAGGGAAGGAGACCCCCAAAGGTGGGAAGGCATGGATCTCCCACCTACCTCTGGCTGATAGTTTCTTGGTGTTGATGATCTTGGCAGCATACTCCTGGCCAGCCAGCACCTTCACACACCGGCGCACCACTGAGAAGGCTCCCCTAGGAGGACAGAGAAGTCAGAGGGGTGAGGGAAGGCCCTGGAGATGCTGGTGTTGTTGCAGCTTCCTTGTGGCGGGTAGGGAGCCCTCCTTTGGGGATGCTCGAGCTCAGAGGGAATGCTGTGGCCGCCCCAGGGACATAGCAAGGATAGAGACCCAGGAGAACCATAGGTGATGGATGAGCCTTCCAGGGGCCTGTAAGTTAGGCTCACCAAATTTTAACACATTAGAACCATGTAGAGTTTCTAGGTCCCTGAAAGTGTTTAGTTTTTTGTTCAAAGCTCAAAAAAATTCAAAAGTGTAGATAGTGAAGAGACTCCCTCTCACCCCTGGACCCAGAGACAGCCAGTCTTACCAGAGCCAGTCTTTCCAGACACTCTCCCCCATGCAAATGCTACAACAGTGGTCGGCAAACTCATTAGTCAACAGAGCCAAATATCAACAGTACAACGATTAAAATTTCTTTTGAGAGCCAAATTTTTTAAACTTAAACTTCTTCTAACGCCTCTTCTTCAAAATAGACTCGCCCAGGCTGTGGTATTTTGTGGAAGAGCCACACTCAAGGAGCCAAAGAACTGCATGTAGCTCACGAGCCACAGTTTGCTGACCACAGTGCTACTAGATCTTGCAAGCTGTTCTGCATACTCTGTTTTTCATTAGACACTTAGGTGAGCCTCCTTCCATTACACAAAGAGCTCCTCACGATACTGTATTTAATCATATGGCTATAATGTACCCGGCCAATCTCTGTTGGTGGGCCATTAGGTTAGCTCCAACCTGTGGCTATTACAAACACCACTGCAACCACTAACCATCCATGTGTGTGTTATCATTACGTTTCCCATGTGTGCAAGTGTTTGTGGATAGACTTCTAGAATCTGTGTTGTTTGGTCAATGAGTGGTTGTTGTTTGGTAATTTTGGTAGATAACGAGAGACTTCCCATCTTAGAGATTGTACCAACTTAGGGTGAGGGGCCCGTTTTCCTTCACTCTTGCCCATGTGGTGTGCTATCAAACTTTCTTATCTCTGTTTGCAAAACTGGGAACAAATGGCAACTCCGTGTAGATCTGATTTGTAGTTCTCATACTAAGAGTAAGGCTGGACATCTTTTTATATGTTTTAGGAGGTTCCTGGGATTTTAGCATCTAAATATTGGTGATTAGAAGAGAATTTGAAGTATTTATGTGAAATGTCTCAATTTTAAAATACTGGCACCTTGCCAAGGCCGGTTTGGCTTAGTGGATAGAGAGTCTGACTGAAAGGTCCCAGGTTTGATTCCGGTCAAGGGCATGTGCCTTGATTGCGGGCACATCCCCAGTAGGGGGTGTGCAGGAGGTAGCTGATGGATGATTCTCTCTCATCGATGTTTCTAGCTCTCTATCCCTCTCTCTTCCTCTCTGTGAAAAATCAATAAAATAAATTTTTTAAAAAATACTGGCACCTTATTCTTTGTAAGTATAAACATAGTCTCTGGCCAAACAAAACTAGGTTGAGGCTAGAGCTGACACCTCCACCACAAAGGTCCTCTAGTCCAACCCCTTCCTCTCACAGAGGCGGCGGCTGGGGGGCTGGAACTGGCCATGGCTGCCAACATTACCACCCTGGACCCAGGCTGGCGAATGGCAAGAAACAAGTCTGCGGGGTGTCTTCCTAAAATGCAAATTCTGATGCGTTAAGTATGGAGTGGGACGCAGAACTTCAGCTTCCGTGCAGCTCGGTGTAGATTGCATCGGGTCACACTGCGAGTTCCAGGCGGGGCCGCACAAAGAACTCGGCTATCTGCGTCCCCAGGCTTTGGCTTTTCCCCCACCACTGAGCCTGCCGTTTCCTGGCCTGCACATCCAGGCTCTGCCGTGGGCGCACTCCGTCGTATCCTCCAAATGTTGGTCTCCTCCTAAGCATATGAGCAGATCTCAGCCACCCAGATGAGGCTGGTGGGGACAGAGAAGGACGCTGGCAGGCACCGAGGAAGCCAGCAGGCGGGCACAGATGCCCTCTCTGCACAAACCCTGGGCATTGTGTCCCTGGCTTTGTGTCTGGGCAGCAGGAGCCTGCAGGGAGTGGTGGGACACTGTGGAGAAGGATGAGAAGCTGGAGACTAGGACACATGACCTGGGAGGAAGCTGGAGAAAGCCAGGACTCACGGGCAGACTGAAAGTCTCACACAACAACAGGCCCTCCCCGGGGTGTGCAGCCCCTGCCCGCCCTGCACCCAGAGGAAAGCAGCAGGACCGGTCACCCTCCCTGGGGAGCCTCCCGTGACGGAGCCTCTGGTTTGCTTTCCCAGACACCGATACCCCCCTCTCCCCAGCTCAGGTGTGTGGCTGCTGGTCAGGTGGTCTTCCCAGCTGACAATGAGCTCCAGAAGTCCAGGGCCTGAAGTAGCTTTTTCACCCCCCGTGTCCCGGGTACCCAGTGGCTGCTCCTCACAGATGTCTCTTGCAGGAACAGGAGTTAGATTTGAGCAACAGTGAGCCGAACTGGAATGAGCTGGGAGAGGATTTGCAGTCAAGGGTGTCAAGAATAGGAACAGGCGTCTGAGGAGCATCGGGCCCAACCTGCCTCTCAAAGGTACCCATGCTCCCCAGGCAGGGGATGGACCCACAGACCTTTTCAATTCCTATGGGAGGGAGGGGGAGAGTTTCCCCACCCGAGAAATAAAGCCCCATTCTAGGCAAAGACCTTAAACCAGTGGTTCTCCAACGGGCTGCTTCAGGGCCCCTTGCGGGTGTTTTAAAAATGTGTCTTCTAAGGCCCTGTTCAGACCTCTGCGTGGGGCCCAAGGAACCTATTTTAATCTAACATGTTGTCCCAGCCACCTTGGCACTGTCTTGCCCACCTTCTGGGGAAGTCCTGCCTGATGCCCGCCCCATCCTAGAAATCATCATTGGTGGGCGTCTCACGGGGCTCTGAGCACGGAGGCCCCGTGAACCTGGCTCTGTTCCAGGAGCTGAGGTCCGAGAGCATCGCCCATAAAACAGAGGAGAGCTCGACTTTCTCCTCAAAACACAGCCCTGAGCTTTGGAGTAAACCCCATGCTCTGACTCAAGGTTCAGGCCGTGGATGGGGCTGCTGTGGGGGTCCTGTACCCCCAAGGGACAGCCTGAGCCTCTTGGTTGTTTTTCTGGGGCAAAGGTACATGGCTTTCAGCAGATGCTCAGAGGGAGGAGTTTATCAAAATCAGTGCAGAGCTACTGATCCAGAGCACCCGGGCCTCACACACCCGGGAGGCATCCTCCCTTCATTGCACCTCCACTGCTAACCTCCTTCTGGACCCTCCGTTGGAATTCTGGTCTCCCATTTAACAGATCGGGAAACTGAGGCCTCAGGGAGCAGGCATATTCCTAGTAAAGCTGCGGAGAGAACCCAGGTCACCTGTAGATGCTTTTCCAATGTCACCAACGGCAAGAGAATGTGGCTCAGGAGCAGGGGCTCCGGGCTCACAAAGCCATGTGGTCCGATCACGACTCACCCCACCTGACTGTGTGATATTGAACTTAGTGCCGCACCTCTCTGTCTCCTCCAATAAATGGGGACAATAACAGCGTGTGCCTCCTGGCTATGTTGGGGAGGTTCAGGGAGACAACTACAAGACTCTGGGCACAGTGCCAGGCACATGAAGCTGCAAACGGGGCGAAGAAGGACCTGAGCCCCTTTCCACCTGGGCAGCCTCAGACCCGTGCCCAGAGTGGGAAGGCTCCCCCGCGCCTGCCCAGAGGCTGGGATCAGGGAGAGGAGGGGCAGGGGAAAATCTGTAGGAAAAATGAGAGCGGGGGCAGCCAGCCTGCTGCCCTAACTTCCTCCTCTTTTATCTTCTGCTTCCGAAGGCATGTTTCTGCATTCTGGTCCAGCGTGAGCGAGTGGCCGCAGGCAGCTGCCTTGGCAAACAGAAGAGCCAGCCCACTCCTCCCCCGGCCCTGAGCGGAGCAGGTGGCCGGCAAGCGGGTAGGCAGGAGCTTGGAAACGGGACAGAGAGGGAGAGGGAGGAGGCCCCGGAGGGGAGGGGAGGGCAGGGTGGAGGAAGTGACCAGGGCTCCCAAGAGGAAGGGATGAGGCCTGCCTAAGAGGGCTCTGTGTGGGGGCAGGATGTCATGGGAGGGTCCCGGGAGTGCCTGGGAAAGTGTCCTGGTTGCAAAGGGGTCAAGAAAGCGTGTCTGCTCACAGGTGTGTGCCGGCAGTCCTGTCAGTGCCCTGGTGTCCGTGACGCCACATGGCTCTGGGTGGGACAACGCACAGACACATCACCCTTGGGTTTGAAGTATGCATCCCCGTTATCAGGAGTGTCACAGAGTGTGGGTAGGGAGAGGTGAGTGTGAGACAGAGAGACATTGGGGGTGGGGGGTCAGAATCTCAGGCCTCAGTCGTGCTGGGAGGTCTTGGGCAGTGGGTGGATCCAGGGGCCTCAGTTTCTTCATCTTCATGGGCTTGGGGTCTGGAGGAGGCTAACCAGCAGAGACCTTCCTGTCTTTAATATTCTACACCAGCGCCGCCCAGCAGAAATGCTGTGTGTGGCGACGGAATGAGTCTGTGTTGTCCAACTGGCAGTCGCTACCTTCCTGTAATAACTGTGTGTGGTGAGTGATCCGCGCTGGATAGTGATGTTCTGTGTGGATGACGGGTTCTTCAGAACCAGAGCAAGCAGACTTCACATTGTGGTCCGGCCGCTTACCAACAGGCGCCTTCACCTTGGGGAGCCCCCTTGTGCCCTGTGAAATCCGGTAAGCGCAGGGCCCCCTGTGCAGCCTTCTCAGTGACTCGGTGATAATGAGGCATGCGATGGGCTAGCACCGTCCCCGGAGAACAGTAAACGCTCGGGAAACAACGCCTGTTGTAGGCATCATTACCCACGAGGTGAGGCGAACAGCTGGCATCCTCAGGAACAAAATGGACCTTGCTTGCCAGGCTCAGGGAAGGACAAGCTAGTAGAGGAGGTGGGGGCCGTGGGGAAGAGGGGCTGCCCCCCCAAACACAGCAGCCTACTCTGGGGTGTGTGCGGGCAT